AAGGGGTAACACTGTCGTTTTTTTTTCGGGTCGAATTTTGAATTTTGATATCTCAGCTCTGGAAGGGTCTAGAGCCTCCATTTTTGCACTCAGGTCAAAGTCTCGTGGCCCTCTATCAGAATCCAGAGTTTTGAGAAGATTGGAGAAACTTAATTTTTCGCCCGAAAATGAAAAAAAAACGAAAGGGGTAACACTGTCGTTTTTTTTTCGGGTCGAAATTTTGAATTTTGATATCTCAGCTCTGGAAGGGTCTAGAGCCTCCATTTTTGCACTCAGGTCAAAGTCTCGTGGCCCTCTATCATAATCCAGAGTTTTGAGAAGATTGGAGAAACTTAATTTTTCGCCCAAAAACGAAAAAAAACGAAAGGGGTAACACTGTCGTTTTTTTTTTCGGGTCGAAATTTTGAATTTCGATATCTCAGCTCTGGAAGGGTCTAGAGCCTCCATTTTTGCACTCAGGTCAAAGTCTCACAGCCCTCTATCATAATCCAGAGTTTTGAGAAGATTGGAGAAACTTAATTTTTCGCCCAAAAACGAAAGGGGTAACACTGTCGTTTTTTTTTCGGGTCGAAATTTTGAATTTCGATATCTCAGCTCTGGAAGGGTCTAGAGCCTCCATTTTTGCACTCAGGTCAAAGTCTCACAGCCCTCTATCATAATCCAGAGTTTTGAGAAGATTGGAGAAACTTAATTTTTCGCCCAAAACGAAAAAAAAACGAAAGGGGTAACACTGTCGTTTTTTTTTCGGGTCGAAATTTTGAATTTTGATATCTCAGCTCTGGAAGGGTCTAGAGCCTCCATTTTTGCACTCAGGTCAAAGTCTCACAGCCCTCTATCATAATCCAGAGTTTTGAGAAGATTGGAGAAACTTAATTTTTCGCCCGAAAATGAAAAAAAACGAAAGGGGTAACACTGTCGTTTTTTTTTCGGGTCGAAATTTTGATTTTGATATCTCAGCTCTGGAAGGGTCTAGAGCCTCCATTTTTGCACTCAGGTCAAAGTCTCACAGCCCTCTATCATAATCCAGAGTTTTGAGAAGATTGGAGAAACTTAATTTTTCGCCCAAAAACGAAAAAAAACGAAAGGGGTAACACTGTCGTTTTTTTTTCGGGTCGAAATTTTGAATTTCGATATCTCAGCTCTGGAAGGGTCTAGAGCCTCCATTTTTGCACTCAGGTCAAAGTCTCACAGCCCTCTATCATAATCCAGAGTTTTGAGAAGATTGGAGAAACTTAATTTTTCGCCCAAAAACGAAAAAAAACGAAAGGGGTAACACTGTCGTTTTTTTTTCGGGTCGAAATTTTGAATTTCGATATCTCAGCTCTGGAAGGGTCTAGAGCCTCCATTTTTGCACTCAGGTCAAAGTCTCACAGCCCTCTATCATAATCCAGAGTTTTGAGAAGATTGGAGAAACTTAATTTTTCGCCCAAAAATGAAAAAAAACGAAAGGGGTAACACTGTCGTTTTTTTTTCGGGTCGAAATTTTGAATTTTGATATCTCAGCTCTGGAAGGGTCTAGAGCCTCCATTTTTGCACTCAGGTCAAAGTCTCACAGCCCTCTATCATAATCCAGAGTTTTGAGAAGATTGGAGAAACTTAATTTTTCGCCCAAAAACGAAAAAAAACGAAAGGGGTAACACTGTCGTTTTTTTTTCGGGTCGAAATTTTGAATTTCGATATCTCAGCTCTGGAAGGGTCTAGAGCCTCCATTTTTGCACTCAGGTCAAAGTCTCACAGCCCTCTATCATAATCCAGAGTTTTGAGAAGATTGGAGAAACTTAATTTTTCGCCCGAAAATGAAAAAAAACGAAAGGGGTAACACTGTCGTTTTTTTTTCGGGTCGAAATTTTGAATTTTGATATCTCAGCTCTGGAAGGGTCTAGAGCCTCCATTTTTGCACTCAGGTCAAAGTCTCACAGCCCTCTATCATAATCCAGAGTTTTGAGAAGATTGGAGAAACTTAATTTTTCGCCCAAAAATGAAAAAAAACGAAAGGGGTAACACTGTCGTTTTTTTTTTCGGGTCGAAATTTTGAATTTCGATATCTCAGCTCTGGAAGGGTCTAGAGCCTCCATTTTTGCACTCAGGTCAAAGTCTCACAGCCCTCTATCATAATCCAGAGTTTTGAGAAGATTGGAGAAACTTAATTTTTCGCCCGAAAATGAAAAAAAACGAAAGGGGTAACACTGTCGTTTTTTTTTCGGGTCGAAATTTTGAATTTCGATATCTCAGCTCTGGAAGGGTCTAGAGCCTCCATTTTTGCACTCAGGTCAAAGTCTCACAGCCCTCTATCATAATCCAGAGTTTTGAGAAGATTGGAGAAACTTAATTTTTCGCCCGAAAACGGAAAAAAACGAAAGGGGTAACACTGTCGTTTTTTTTTTCGGGTCGAAATTTTGAATTTTGATATCTCAGCTCTGGAAGGGTCTAGAGCCTCCATTTTTGCACTCAGGTCAAAGTCTCACAGCCCTCTATCATAATCCAGAGTTTTGAGAAGATTGGAGAAACTTAATTTTTCGCCCAAAAATGAAAAAAAACGAAAGGGGTAACACTGTCGTTTTTTTTTCGGGTCGAAATTTTGAATTTCGATATCTCAGCTCTGGAAGGGTCTAGAGCCTCCATTTTTGCACTCAGGTCAAAGTCTCACAGCCCTCTATCATAATCCAGAGTTTTGAGAAGATTGGAGAAACTTAATTTTTCGCCCGAAAATGAAAAAAAACGAAAGGGGTAACACTGTCGTTTTTTTTTTCGGGTCGAAATTTTGAATTTCGATATCTCAGCTCTGGAAGGGTCTAGAGCCTCCATTTTTGCACTCAGGTCAAAGTCTCACAGCCCTCTATCATAATCCAGAGTTTTGAGAAGATTGGAGAAACTTAATTTTTCGCCCAAAAATGAAAAAAAACGAAAGGGGTAACACTGTCGTTTTTTTTTTCGGGTCGAAATTTTGAATTTCGATATCTCAGCTCTGGAAGGGTCTAGAGCCTCCATTTTTGCACTCAGGTCAAAGTCTCAGCCCTCTATCATAATCCAGAGTTTTGAGAAGATTGGAGAAACTTAATTTTTCGCCCGAAAATGAAAAAAAAACGAAAGGGGTAACACTGTCGTTTTTTTTTTCGGGTCGAAATTTTGAATTTCGATATCTCAGCTCTGGAAGGGTCTAGAGCCTCCATTTTTGCACTCAGGTCAAAGTCTCACAGCCCTCTATCATAATCCAGAGTTTTGAGAAGATTGGAGAAACTTAATTTTTCGCCCGAAAACGGAAAAAAAACGAAAGGGGTAACACTGTCGTTTTTTTTTCGGGTCGAAATTTTGAATTTCGATATCTCAGCTCTGGAAGGGTCTAGAGCCTCCATTTTTGCACTCAGGTCAAAGTCTCACAGCCCTCTATCATAATCCAGAGTTTTGAGAAGATTGGAGAAACTTAATTTTTCGCCCAAAAACGAAAAAAAACGAAAGGGGTAACACTGTCGTTTTTTTTTCGGGTCGAAATTTTGAATTTCGATATCTCAGCTCTGGAAGGGTCTAGAGCCTCCATTTTTGCACTCAGGTCAAAGTCTCGTGGCCCTCTATCATAATCCAGAGTTTTGAGAAGATTGGAGAAACTTAATTTTTCGCCCGAAAACGGAAAAAAACGAAAGGGGTAACACTGTCGTTTTTTTTTTTTTTTTCAGGTCGAAATTATGAATTTCGATATCTCAGCTCTGGAAGGGTCTAGATCCTCCATTTTTGCACTCAGGTCGAAGTCTCACAGCCCTCTATCATAATCCAGAGTTTTGAGAAAAACCCTTTCGTTTTTTTTAGGGGTTTTTTTGGTGTGCGAAAAAATAAGTTACTCCAATGTTCTTGAAACTCTTGATTCTGATAGAGGGCCATGGGACTTAGACCTGAATGCAAAAATGGAGGCTCTAAACCCTTCCTGAGCTCATATATTGAGATCCCACGTAGCATTTATGCCATTATAAATATCTCAATATCTCAGCTCTGGAAGTGTCTAGAGCCTCCATTTTCTGTCTCAGAGCAGTCAACTGATCAACAAAGTCGTCGAGATGCTCCCCGAAAACCACGCCCAGTATAGCCTTGCCCTCCACCTGCTGGATGCTGTGGACTCTTTACACGAAGAGCCCTGATATAGAGAAATGCATTGGAGGAGAAAGAATGAGATTCATGTTTTTAAATATTCCAGACTCAAAAACCTTCACAGGAGCCTAAAGACCTGGATAACCATCCAGTCAGCAGCCTAAATAAATGCATCATCATCATCATTACTAATCTGCTTAATTTATCAGGCTTTAATCTTTTTTCCTGTCTGTCACTAAAATGTACAGTAAAATGTAAATATACAGTAGTCCTGTAATTAAAGAAGGGCGTTCTTTACAAGGAAGCCTTAAAATAATATTGTGCTTTAATCAGTATAATCAAAACATTACAGTGTATAAACACCATGAGGGGTATATTTTTCTAAAATATACCCCTCACATCTAAAATTTCAAATTTTAGATGTTCTCGTTCATTTATTCTGCCAATTAAATGTGTCTGTAATGTCTAATTGGTGCTGTTTATTAGTCAACAAGTACTAAAATGTCATCTGTTAATGTATGTTTATTTTAAATGTTCAACTTTAGGTGTGGTTGCAAGGTGAGAGAAAAGAAAGACCTCTTCTGTAGTGCTGACCTTTTATGCAGACCTGTACCAGCTGTGCCTGGCTGCTCATATTACATGTTACCAAAATTAAAGATAATTTCCGAGAACTGTTGTGCAGCTTATTGTCTTGAAAATGAAACTGGAGCATTAAATTATCAGCAACATGTCCTTAATGTGTTCATCAAATATGAGGAACATTGAGGTTCAAACGTGCTGGTTTTAAAAAAGTATTAGTTCTCACACAATTCAATAAAATAGATATTTTAGGGCCAATTAAACATTACAGTCCATGTAAACATAAGATTTAAATTTCATGACAGTGAGTGAACACATGAAGATTCACATTAAGAGACATTATCTTTTTTCTGTATGCATTGTTTATTGGCATAGCAATAAAACTCATGTCATGAAGCATAATTTACAGGTAAACAGAGAAACTAAAATTGAAAAACTCTCCTCGCACAGAGCCTCATTTATGAAAATAGCAGAATGAATGTCTACATTTTGTAAAGCCACTCTTTGATAAAACTGCCACATTCAATTGACGTCACAAAGAATGGTTTCACAAATTGCTTCTGCATGTTAAGTACATCTTCAATGCAAAATGTCACAATAAAATATACCCCCTAATGACTTGAATATACAGAAAGTACAGTTAAACGTGTTCAACCAAACCTTCCTTCCACCTCACACAAGCTCAAATTGACATATACAAACGCTCTTTTCAACGTACTGACAATAAGTTGGCTTAAACCTGTAGCAGAGAACTGCACTGTTAAATTTGTCAACTTAACACAGATCCCAGGTCAGAGCTTATATTGTAAGCATGATCTGAAATGGGATTTTGTATACGTTTTCTCAGTTGAGAATTTCCTGTTTGGTTTCCTTCTAAATTTTTGCTTTATTCTTTTATAACAGTTTGTCTCCTGTCCGACCCCTGAGTATCATGCTACCCCCCTCCCACAACTTCAGACAACTTTCTGTCTGTTACAATAGCAGCTTCATACTGGTCCATGGTAGCCCTTGTAGCCTTTTTCAACAAAGGAGGAGGAGGGCAAGTGGGTGGGCAGTAGTCATGGCAACAGTCAGGGTGATTACTTGGTATTTTCCAGCACGGTTTGGCATCGTGGGCAGAGGCAGTCTGCCTCATCTGCTGTGTATCGCCGACATCTCGGACAGCGTGAGAGAGAGGTGGGCATCGCGGCTACGCTGTATGAACTCTCTTCACGAATCATTCCCCCTTCAGAACACACAGATAAGCAGATCAATACCCAATTACTTTAGAGTTCCGTAATATTTCTAGGAATTGTATTAATTTTCTGTTTCTGAAGTAGTTTAAGTTTAGTTTAACTGCTTCTAAATGAAAACCAAATGTTGCCAATTGTATCTAAACCTGTGGTTCTTAACCTTTGTGATAGCATTGTCCAACACAACATTCAAAGCCCCAATATAAGGCAAGATATAAATATAATAAAAAATAAAAAGTATTTTGAAGTTTATTCAGAAATTGTGTTGGAGAATGAAATGTTTACTTAAAAGAGTGGCAAAGAAGGCGTTTTAAGAAGATGTATACTTTTGTTAATTCTTCAATCAGTTTAACTTAGTTCCTGCCTTTGCTTTGGAAGTATATGATTATGTTGCAATAAAGAAATGATGTAATGTCCTGCACACTCAAGAAAGGCTGTAAGAGTATTTTAAACCAACCAGCAAGGAAACTAAAATGTGCAGAAAACGTGCAGACGAGAATGTGTCATGTTCTGAATGCTATCTATTTGCATTCCAGGTGATCAGTTCAGTTTAAACTAATTTCCCTTTCGCCTTCAGAACTGCCTCAATTCTATTGGGTTGAGATCTGGTGACTGTGGGGCCATTTTTGTGCAGTGAACTCCTTGTCATGTTCAAGAAACCAATTTGAAATGATTCAAGCTTTGTGGCATGGTGTATTATCCTGCTGGAAGTAGCCATCAGAGGATGGATAAAAGGTGGCCATAAAGGGATGGACATGGTCAGAAACAATGCTCAGGTAGGCCTTGGCATTTAATCGAGACTCATCAGACAAGGCAACATTTTTCCAGTCTTCAACTGTCCAATTTTGGTGAGCTCTTGCAAATTGTAGCCTCTTTTTTCCTATTTGTAGTGGAGATGAGTGGTACCCGGTTGGGTGTTCTGCTGTTGTAGCCCATCTGCCTCAAGGTTGTGCGTGTTGTGGCGTAAATGCTTTGATGCATACCTTGGTTGTAACGAGTGGTTATTTCAGTCAAAGTTGCTCTTCTATCAACTTGAATCAGTCGGCCCATTCTTCTGTGACCTCTTGGTTTAGTCCTCAGTTGTAAGTCGCTTTGGATAAAAGCGTCTGCTAAATGACTAAATGTAAATAATCCTTTAGGTGAGTGTATGCTGCAGGTTGGAACTAGAAGTGCTAAAGATTTAAGTCATTCATTCATTTCATTTCATTTCATTCATTGGTGTTAGTGAACTTTTTTTAGTGTATATATATGGGTTGTATGCTTTGCTATTTGCATCTATTGTATTTATTGATGAGTAGTTTAGTTATTTATTTGTGAGTGGTTTTAACCGGACCTCAGTATCTAATTTCGTTCCAGCTCATGTACCATGGTTTGGAATGACAATAAAAATCCTTTACCATTACCTTTACCTTTAGTTTTTGTGATAGAAACACTGGGTAATTTAAAGCATCTCACCTTCCAGATTGATGAGGAACTTTCCATTGCTTGTGACAGAATCCGATGACAAATCCCGCGGGAGGGAGTTTGTCAGCGTCGTGCGTGAGGCCATCATGAGCTCTGTCAGCTGAGAGCAGGTGGAAGTGGGCTCCTCTTGAAGAGACTGGCAGAAAAGGGTGGGGGAAAAAAACAACTTATAAAATGTAGGCGCAAGCAAATGAAGCACAATTATTATCTATTTAAAGTATCTATTATCTCTATTCATACCAATACAAATGTTTGTTATTAAAGCTACAGTCAGCAGCTTTTTTTGTGTGTTAAAAAATTATCCAAAACACATATTTGACAAAATACATAATCAGCCAGTCTTCAAAACTATCTGCTTGCCTTAGCTCGATTCAAAGCGGTAAGTTTATAATAATATTTTTAATTCCATTGGTCCTTGTGGATTACCACGGGAAATTCGAGCATGTCTTTGCGTCATTACGTCACATTAGTACACATAAAAAAAGAGTCTCGGCTAGTATACGCTATATTGCGTGAGGATGTTGGAGGTGGAGATTTATAGCCTTTTCTCACAGCACTTGATATAATTAAACTTAACAATTTGATGGAGGGATCCAGAAAGGTTCAAACCACAATCATCAGTGACAACTAGAGATTCACCCGCTGTAAAATGCAAAAGACTTCGTTCAGACTTCGGAGTGGCTACAGAAAAAAAAAGAGATTGCAACCAGACCCATGCGAAAACATGTAGTCACGCAATGCTGACATTGTTAACATTAACAATTTGAGAACAAAGTATAATTTTTTATAAATAAATAAAAGTATAACAAAGTATAAAGTTTTGCGTGATATGATAACTTATAAGCAGGGCCACACGCAATCTGCTGACTTTGTACGGGGTTACCCTGGTATCTATAAAAGAGCCACATACTGTCAAAAAATGTATTTGCATGTTCATTCAGCCTGTCTGCCATTTGTTATGATTTGGTCTAAACCAGGGGTATCAAACTCAATTCCTGGAGGGCCACTGTCCTCCAGTATTCAGTGCCAACCATCTCTAAAACAGCTGCCAAGAAGTTTCTAGTAATCCTGAAGACATTGATTAGCTCGTTCAAGTGGGTTGGAGCTCAACTCCAACTCCAACTCTGAAGTACAGTGGCCCTTCAGGAGCCGAGTTTGACACTTCTGCTCTAAACGGACAAATCGCAAGCAAAAATTTAAATGAATTTCTGAATCCATGATGTACCTCCATGATTTCAAAGAACAGGCCGGGTTCAATGGCAATGATGAGGTCATACTCAGCAGCGTTACGTCCCGGAATAGACGACAGGAAGGAATCTCTGATAGCACATGCGCCCTCTACTGCTTCCTCCAGTCCTGGTTTCCGCCACACAGAATCGGTCTTAATCCAGCCACTACGAAACAAAGTGTCCCCCTCTACAGACAAAGAGAGAGGTGAGAAGCATTACAGTGAGGTAGCTAGTCTGTAGCTGTAAAGCATCAGTTGCACAAAAATTGGGTGAGTACCATCATGTCCAGGAGAGTGCAGGTACACCTCCTCAGCGAGGTGAGGGAGGACAGGAGCGATAGAGCGACTCACTCCATCCAGAATCTCTTCTAGAACTGTTTGACACGACCTCCGACCAAGGGAGTCCTCAGGGTCACAATAAAGCCTGAGAGAGAGGCAGTGAGTGAGACGTTTTGCTACGGAGCATAAAAAAATAGCTTAATTTTCGAACAGAAAGTTACATAATTGAATGAGTGGTTACCGATCTTTAATGATGCTGAAATAGAAGTTGGATAATTCTCTAGTGACAAAGGATTGCAGCAGGCGGATGACGCGGCCGCTGTCAAACTCGTTGTAGGCATCAGTTACCTACAGCACACACAACAAGAATGGACAGCTGGTTTAAGCCCAGCCCGTACAAACATTGTAACCTGTTAACATTTAGACTCGCCTTCATGCTGAACTCTCTGAGCAGGTGTAGCATGTACTGATCTACGTAGTGCATTTGTTTAGTGTCCACAGCCTGGGAACGAGGATCAAATCCTTGGAGATTCCCCAAGAGAAACTTCAGTGTGTTCCTCAGCTGGTGACAGAGAATGGCAGGTTAATGAGAGGTCATTATCTCATAAACACTTCGATCTATACTTACTGTTCATAAATATGTGGTCGTTAAGATGTTTCGGAAAAATGTAATTTAAATTTACAAAGGATTAAAATACAGTAAAAATATAATATTGTGAAATGACTTTTCTATTTGCATACAGTTTCTTATTATTAATCAGTGTTGAATAGTTGTGCTATTTTTTGAGTAGACGGACAATTTTTTTTCCTGGATTCTTTGATAAACAGAAAGATTAAAAAGAACAGTGTTTTGAAAGAAAACTTTTGTAACATTATAAATGTCTTTACTCTAACTTTTGATCAATTTGATGAATCCTTGCTGAATCAAATTATTCATTTAAAAAAATAAATCTTACAGACCTTATTTAAACTTTAAAACAGTAGCATATATGTAAGAATCTCAAAGTGAATTCAAAATTAGCACTGACTGCTTTGATATGTGCCAGACCTTGTTGATGCTGTCTTTAGCAGCGTTCAGTGTGTTCGGTCCGATCTGAACCTCAGAAAACACGTTCGACTCTGCAACCCACCATCTCAAAACATCAGCACCATATGGAGGACAGACAGACAAATCCTGAGAGAGAGAAATGGATGTTTAAAAACACTGACTGGATGACATCATTTAATTCTAGCATTGGTTGATCGTATCTCACCTTCCCTCCATTAATAACAACATCTGGGTCGACCACGTTGCCTATAGACTTGGACATTTTTTCTCCTCTCTCGCTCACAGCAAATCCATGGACCACTAGAGTTCTGAATACACACAGAAGGTAGGTGATTGGTATATTTTTTAACATATGTATTGGTCACATACACATGCAACAGCAGCAGCAATAAATACATTAACAACGCATATCCAATACAATGCTAAACTCTTTTGTGACGATAGAAATGCATTTTAATTACTCACTTGTAAGGGGCTTTATTTCGTACAGCTACACTGGTGAGGAGCGACGACTGAAACCAACCGCCGATTTGATCTTTCCCCTCCACATACGAGTCTGCACGCGGGTCTGATTCTGAAAGAGAGAGAAGTGACATAACACTACAATGCAACAAAGCATACCAAAGGACCCCAGACAAGCAATCAACAATATACTTATTGATTGCTTAAATAACCAGAAATACATGTATTGATAGGGACCACTTTGATGACTCACCCTGTAGTACAGCGGCCCATGAGACACCACTGTCAAACCAGATATCCAGGACATCTTCACCCCGCACATAATCAGATAGTGCACTTGCTTTACTCTGACAAAACACACAAACAATTTAGAACTTATACTAAATTTTATTCACTAGTTTACATTTCATTTTGCACTAAAGAGTATTTGTGGCATAAACATAAACAAAAGTTTGGGGTCAGTGAGATTTAAAAAAAAAAAAATAGTAATAATAATTAGAAATTACACATTAAATTGATCAAAAGTAATAGTAAAGACTTTTTAAAATGAAGAAAATTGAAGAAAGCTAAAAAATTTTTTAGCAGTTTCCATGAAAAAAAAAAAACGTAAATGTATCAGTTTTCATCATTGATAATAAGACATTTTTCTTGTGTTGCAAAACATCATATAATGATTTCTAAAGGGCCATGTGACACTGAAAACTGGAGTATGGATGCTGAAAATTCAGCTTTGCCATCACAGGAATAGTTTAATGACATTTTCAAATAGAAAGTAGTTATCTTAAATTGTAATATTTTACAATATTTACAACATTACAAATAAATCCAGACTTTGTGAGCATAAGAGGCTTCTTTAAAAAAAAAAGAAGAAACACACACAAAAAAAAAAAAAACACAATCCTACCGACTCAGAACATTTGAATGAAAATGTAGGGGAAAAGTACCTTCCGAAGAACCTCTGGAGTCAGAAATGTCTCCACTGGCTCCGCCCACCAGCTGTCACTTCCCTTCTCAGAGAAAACGTTAGCGATGTGTGTAACTGAATGTCTGAAGAAGAAGGAGGGAATTCTTAAACTTGCAGTTTATATGCATTTCTTCAGTATGTCTATGACAGTGTAAGTATATACTTGTTTAAGAGTGGCTCTCCGGTCTCTTTGTGGTAGAACACTGGGATGGGGACGCCCCAGCTCCTCTGCCGAGATATACACCAGTATGTTCTTCTGTCCAACATCGCCAACAAACTGGACCTAGCCGATTCAGGTATCACACGCACCTTCTGGAGGGCGTCCTATGCAAACACACTCACAGTTTATTTTATGCAGAAAACATATAACTGGAAATTTACTAGGAAATCGGTTAAATGTTTAATACTTCTAACAAAAGTAACAAAAAAAAAAGAATAGAATAAATGCAGAATGTGCACTGACAAAAACATGTCCAAGTAAGTGTGAATGTGAAATACGCTCACTTCTCTCACTCACAAATAAAAAGTTACTTTTAACACACTTAAGTCAATTAATACTATTTTAGGAGGATCATGACATTTTTTGCATTGACACATTATTTCCACGACAATTTATATATAATTTCTTGCATGCAAAAATGTCAGTCCTCCTACTTTACTCCACATTACAGTAATAATGAGAATGATTTTTTTTCAGCATCATGGTAATGATCATTTACTAGCTATGCAAAATAATAATAAATAAAAAAAGTCTCACTGTGGAACATGCATAATTTACTTGAAACAAATATAACAATAAATATTTGGGGGTGAATAATGACCAATTAAGGCAATAAAAAAAAACACCATTAGGAATACATTCTTGATTTTTTTTTTCACAGTACAGTAATGAGAATGAGGGTTTTTTCTGTATTATTCTGCAAAATATGACCCAGACATATTTTGATGGGTTTCATCCAGCTGCAGAGTATATTGCCTCACCTTAGCTTTGTCTTTGAGGCTGCCTGTGTTGATAAACCACTGTTTACTGGCTCTGGTAATGACTGGCTGTTTGGTCCTCCAGTCATACGGGTAACTGTGGACACAGTCCTCCTCCTTCAAAACTGCTCCCGCTGCCTGCAACATTGAGATTACTGTCCACACACACACCATTAGTTACATTCATTTTGATATATAATATTTATATAAATATTCTCACTTTCCTCCATCTTTCTCTCTCACCTGTGGCATTGCCTTCAGTCATTACGGATTTATTCTGCAGTTCAGCCCCAGCAAGTTCTGTAAACCTGCCTTCTTCATCCACCATGCACTCCTAGAAAGAGAGAGAGAGACAGCAAGTTTAAAATCAACAACAACCCAAGATTCTTCCTATTCCAGCATATATTGTACAGGTGTGGGTGACGTACTACTGGCAGATTAAAGTGTGTTGCAACACTGTAGTCCTCCATGCCATGAGCAGGAGCAGTGTGGACCAATCCAGTTCCCTTAGTCAAGGTCACATGATTAGCCGGCAACAAAGGCACTTCTTTTGAAGGAATTGTGGGATGCTGACAAACTCCACCTTCAAGATCTGACCCTGGAGATGAGAGAAAGAGAGGCAGATAAATGCTTAGGCCAGTTTAGTTCAGAAGGCATCGTTTTGGCCAACAACAGTGGATCTACCTGCGAACGTAGCCAAACTCTCCAGATTTGTCCCCAGTATAGAGGCGAGGTTGTTCATGCGCTCGGTTGCCACTAGGAGTAGCTGCTCATTATCAGCTCGCTTCACTACAGAGTACCTGAGAAGTGGAAAAGCATGGGATCATGAACTTTTCCATGAAATCATATCATGTTCATCCCACAGATTCACAAGTGTGTGTGACTTACTGTACTTTGGGCATGTAACACACTGCCTGATTGGCTGGAATAGTCCATGGCTGGGTCGTCCATATCAAAACAGACACACGACCCCAACTTTCTAAATCACAGACGAAGATACTGACATCAGAAATAGGAACGTAACTTTAAATCTGTGTAGGTAATCTGTATAAAGCATATGGCACAGGTATAGACAGCATATACACACACCTGCTATGGAAGCGAGTTTGGCTGGCAGGGTGAGCAGGGGGAAAGTGACGTACAGAGCACGGCTCACGTGTTCTGGACAATACTCCAGCTCAGCTTCTGCAAGTGCAGTCCTTACAGAGGCAAATACAGCAGAAAAATATACCATATAAAAACTCAAAACCAAGGCAGCAAGGTCTTTATGTAATGCTGCAAACACTGAGCTTCTACTACCTGGATGATGGTGACCAGAAAACAGGCTTATAGTCCTGATAAATTAACCCCTGTACACAAAGAGAAGGGGAAAGTGAGAATCATTTCAATGACATGAGGGTAAGTACAGGTTTGGGGTCAGCAAAATAATAAAGAACTAATACTTTCAGCCAGCAAGGATGAACTTTTTATCATTTGACATTTGATCAAAAGTTAACCTTAACATTAAATAAAAATGACTGTACAATTTTTTTTTTTGCTTTGAAATACTGTATTGCATGTGACGTTGCTGTGCGGCCGGTCATGAAAGCTTATCATTTTGTATCCGTTTTTAAGCATTGCGGTTTAAAAACAAGTGATTTTACACTGTTGAAGCGTAATAAGCAACTCATTTCGGAACATGTGTGCTGCTGTCCATGAAGCCGCTACTCATAGAGCCTGTGAGAACTGATTATAGCAGTTATTTTTGCTTCCTTACTGGGCTTGATTGTATTATTGTTAAATTGTAAAAATATATCACAATATTGGTTTTTTTTATCAAGTAAATGCAGCCAGGCTTCTTTAAAAAATATTTTAAAAATCCTACTCTTAACCTTGAAGACATGTCAGACAAACATGTCAAGCTGTGTTGTACAGAAAGAGCTTCTCTCACCTTGTTGTGCATCTCCAGGAAGACTTTAAGCTGGGCCGCTTCATATTTCCCATCAAAAGTATAATAACAATTGTCCCAGTCGGCCATCACGCCCCAGCGCTGGAACGCAGCACGCTGCCGAGAGATGGCCCTCTCTGCAAACTCCCGGGCTAAACGGAGAGCACAAAATAGCACATAAGCTTTTAATATTAAAACAAATGACTTTTTCACCAGAACATTCATTATATGTGACTTCCTGACCTTTCTGTCTGATCTGTAGAGGAGTCAGCCCACTGGTTCCCAGGTCTCCCAGTGCTTTGAGCTCAATGGGCAGCCCATGGCAGTCCCAGCCGGGCACATAGTGCACCAGCCTGCCTTTTAGCACTTCAAAACGGTTCCGGATGTCTTTGAGGATCTGCAGGAGAGATCACACAAAGACGTTGATGGGATATTATGAAGGTCATGAGAGTGTATCTTCATTCATATAGGTTTGGGGATATTATTGTATGATGTCTTTGAAGGATGTGGATCCAGGAACAACTACTTGTGTGACAATGAACTGACAGGAGGTAACTTGCCTTATTGAGAGCGTGCCCAACATGAGGGTCCCCGTTGGCATACGGTGGTCCATCATGAAGGCAGTACACCTTCTTAGCTTTTTTCTCTCTCTGCCATGTGTACAGCTGGTCAAAACCACATTTCTGGAGAACAACACAACAAAAAGTTCAAACACCAACACAAGACAAACAAGAGAATTGTGGCTATAGAAGTGCAGCAGAACTGTCAGAACTTAGTCATTCAGTGTGATTTGGGAACGCAACAAAACAGAACCGCTCAGTTTGCATGTGGCAGGTCCTGGATATGCTGTTAAATCTGACACTCTCACCTGCTGGATCTCGATCTCTCGTTCTAGAAGGTTTGGCCCGTTCACTTTCATGGGGAAGTCAGTGCGGGGCAGCAACACGGTGTCCCGGTACCGGCCCGCAGCGTCTCCGGAGCACAGACAGCGGAGTCCCCATCGAGCCACCCCGCCGAAACCTACTGCCGAACGCCGAACCAGCAGCATGAGGGACTCTGACAGGTGAATTTCCGACCAGGGTGAGAGTTTGTTATGGGATGTGACCTCCTCCTCCGCATGGGCGGCACTCGATCGCAACCGGAATGACAGAAACGACGGAACTACGGAAGCCAGGAGGAGACATTCTCTCAACCATTCACATAAAACGAAAACGGCTTTTTCTTCTTGTGACTGCGGATTTGAAACGGAAGAGGGCGCTGTAGGGTCACTAATGTTGCAACCCGGTATCACGACAAGACGTGAAATAATTACGTTGGTCCACTTTGGAAAACGTGTAGATGTACGGTTTAACCCCCTCAAACGTGAAACTTACACGTTTGCGTTCATAGATATCATATAGAGAACCTTGCATAATATAATATAATAGCATAATATAATATATAGAGAAGCTATATATTATATAGACGAGGAGCATAAACGAGGAGCTGGGGGACGCCGGAAAAATAGACGTTTTACTCATTAGCTACTTCATTAAACGTGACATTTAGACGTTTTTCCCGGCGTGGATCAAGGCAAATGAATCCTTTTCACCTTGAAAATAATAAAAGTTTTTTGCATTTTAAATAAGAACATTTCTCAGTGAGCCTCAATAAAACAAAATTCAATTTTTCTCGGTTTAATGAAAACCAATAGGTCGTTATGGCAGAGGCGATTGCGTGTAGAATAATATCCGGGTATCTCTCCACTGGAACGTGTTAACGTAAACGTGTAAGTTTCACGTTTGAGGGGGTTAAACCGTGACATCTACACGTTTTCCAAAGTGGACCAACGTGATTATGTCATGTCTTGTTGTAATACCGGTTTGCACGTCTATAGGTTTTGTGGCCCATTACATCTAGAATGATATATGTAGCCCACAGTCGAGAGTAAACAGCCCAGTTTTATTAAGTCATGTTTGAAACATACATCTTAACGCGATTTTTATGAATAAATAATTATATATTTGAGTTGGGCCTACCAGTAACCCTCATGTAAACCCATTCCATTGCTCCAACAGAGACAAACTGATAAAATAAAATGTGTACCTTGCAATGAGTTGCTTTCGATACGCATCCGCCAAATGCAAATCATTTTAACAGCTAGGGCCTACCTCAAAATGATCATGTTTAAATGTATGTAATTCCAAGTTCAGTTCCTTTAGTCCAGGAAATGCTCATTTTGAGGTAGCTGTTAACAATAGAAATTTCTCTTCTAAGTCATTAAAGCTTTGACAGGGAAAAGATGTGTAGCCTACACCACAACCTGGGGTCAGTTGCATAAACAGCTAACTGTATCTCAATATCATATTAATTCGGTGATCCCAGTTAGCTAAACGTAAGCTTTTTTGGGGGCAATATATTTTAAACAAAACAGTTTTTGTTATTCACTTGTGCTGAGTAGTGTAGGCCTACCTACTTGTTTTGTCAATGTAGCCTATAGGGCTAATTCTCCTCCCCCTTTTGGAGATCTTACCTGCAGCTAAATCTAATCTTGGGCGGGTGCTTTTGACGTCACTTGGAGAATAAAAGTTTCTGTCGTGCCTCCTCTGAGCACAGACCCTTGGTCCAGCAGTAAACTTCTCTGGAAGAAGACAACACAGGCACAAAAATGAATACAATTTGGATATTGTGCTTTGCGGTGCTGATCATAACCATACCATTTACAACACAGGTAGGCACTATGATTTTTTTTCCCCCATTTATTGTCTTCGGTTTTTAGAAGAGGATGGCAGGATTTGTTCACTAATTGTTTACTGTGTTCATGTTTTTCATTGCATCTATATAATTCACTACAATAAATAATGATAGCAAAATGCATCTACAAGCCCCAAAAACAGGTACTATTTTCTGACTTTCTTCATGTTTGGTTTAGGTGAGCTCTGATCAGAAGTCCGAAAGTGGCTCAGGCCAAACGGCCTCTAATCCTTCCACAAATTCCAGTGCTGTAGGATTGGGTCCTGTGTCCACCACACTGTACATGCTGATCCCAGCAGCCACCCTGGGCTTCATCCACAGTAGATCCTGATGGATGGAGAGTGTTCGCCATAGATGACCAAAACTGAGACAGTGGCGAAATGGACAGAAGAGCAAATTTTCCAAAGTTCAAAAAGATATGACGCACAACAGCTCATTTTAAAGTGGATTTTTAACTAATGAAAATGAATACATCTGCTGCCTGCAACCCCATACAGAGGGTCCTCCAACTGAACCTCACCCTTGGGCTCTTTGTCATGTTTTGTCTAAAAGTCACTGTTTTAGGGAGGGCTCACATACTCAATGGCAACTTCTCTTGGAAGAGTTTGTTTCTCCTAAACTCAAAATATGTGATTTAGGTCAAGTATGTTAAATAACTAGGCCTACTTAAATCATAAATCACTATGCATTTAAAATAACAGCCTAATTTCCATTTCTATAATGACATTGTGTACTAAAAATTTTACTATGAATATGATCAATGTAACCAATTTCAGAATGTGTCTCTACTGTATGCACAATTAAAGTGGATGATTGTATTTCTTGTATGTCATCTTTTATTCAATTTGGTATTAATGTGTTTTCTCTTTACACCGAGTATTAGTAATGCTTTAGATTCTAGTATGTAGAGTAGAAAAAAGAAGTATAGATCGAAATGTATTAGAGAATTTTTGAAAGCACAACTTTTATTTTGAGATCTCCTCAGACAGAGATGAAGTCTCAGTACAGAGGATGTGATCCTCCTCCAAAAACTGGTGGGTAGGTGTGTAAACACGTCAAATGTCAACCACTGTGAGAATAAAACTCCCTTCCTGTTCGGCATCACTAAACACAGACTCTCTTCCCCACAGAAACGTATCTGGAAGAAGGCAGCATAAAAATGAATAAAATATTGATATTGTGCCTTGGGATACTGATTACCTTACTTTGTTCAACTCAGCAGGTAGGCAATATGATTTGTTCATCTCTTGCATTAGAAGTTTTTCTAGCATTTTTCCCATCTTTCTCATTTATCATTGATCCTTTTGTTAATAAATTTTTATTAACCTATGATATATTTGGTAATAATTAGTTGTATGTGCATGCAAAATGTAGATTATACTAGAAAGGTGTCACCACTTCTCTTTATAACGTGTAGACGCAGAAGCTTGGGTCTTTTGCCGGAGTGGATTTACTTTTTACTTATACAAATTACATTATAGTGTCTGTTAATTCAATAAGTGTCAATATCATTGGTTAAAAATATACCCACAACAATAATAATAAGCCTACCACATAAAGTGCATTTTTAAGCAGCTACTCCAAATAAACATTAATATAACATACACTGTTACAAAAAAAAATGGGGAAGGGTATCCTAAGGCACTCTGGATTAACATTAAAATTAACTGGCTTTCTTGAAAACAAAATTATTATTAAATATAGCAAAATCAACCTGACTAAACTTGGTTACAGCAACAAACATTATTTATGAGGTTCAGATCAGGCAGAAATTGTTCGGTAACAATTGTTCGGTATTGTTCGCTTGCATATTCTGACTTTTCTTTCATTTTGGTGTAGGTTAGCATTGAAAATACCACTGAATCAGTTTCTGATCCTTCTGTGGCCAGCGCTGCAGGATTAGGTCCGTGGTGGCCCACCGCGCTGTGCCTGCTGATCCCACCAATTCTGGCCTTCATCCAGTAGGTCCTAAACTGGTTGGAGAATGTTGTGATGACCGAGATCCAGTATCGGTCCAGTCACATGAAGAGCCAACTTTTCCACAATTCGTGAATATAGAAGACACACAGAAGAGAGAAAGATGCCACAACAACTAAATTTAAAGGAAATTTACTTTCTCAGGACTGTACCGAGGGTCCTCCACACCCCAACAAAAGTCTCACTTCTCTTGTAATCTGACCACTGTAATGCATTTCCTCCACAATTTTTTGTAATGATTGTGATGAACTATTAATTGGAATAATTAAGAATGTGTCTATGCACAATTAAAGTGGATAAATGTATATGTTTGCATGTCATCTTTTATCCAAATTCATATTAGTGTGTGTTTTTAAAAATGCTATAAAAGAGTTTTATTCATGCATTTAGATCCCAGTATTGCACTGATATTATATAATTCTTTAAACAAATGTTAAAAAAGTCAGTTTGATCTATGAAATTGGGCCAACCTGTGATTAAAGGAAATAAGGGGCAAGTGTGCAAGTGTTATTTCAGTTTTAACACTGAAAAGGCAGTTTACAAAACCCCCTTAGTTCCTATACACTTTTTTCTCTCCTCCCAGATTTAAGCATACTACTCTTCCATCTTCTATTATCTTATAAACAATTCTTATAGTACACTTAAGCAATTTTAAACAACAGTTCCTGTTACTGTATTTAAGAGAATGAGGTCACTTTTGAGATGCTGATGTCTTTTTGTCACTGAGGTAATGGCATACAGTAAGTGTGAACTCACCCGAAACTCAAGAAGGGAACTTGGCTCATGTATGTTAGAAGTGTATAAAACAGCCTATCAATGGACATTCCTAGACGCACTCAAGATGTTTGATCAATAAAAGTAAGTATTTATTCTTAGGTTTCAATTAGCTTGGGCCATTTCAATTAAAGACTGTATTGTTCCTCATAACGATCCCGTAGGAGCCAAAGTGAACAGAATGACTAAGCTGTGTTGAATATTTACAGTTAACATCATACATATGGTTTCTCATAAACAAGAGAGAATGTGGGATAATTTGCAGTGTATTTGACCCCTGATTTGGTCATGACCCCTGATTTGGTCAAGCCTTCAACGTGACTATTCTAGTGTTGATATGGAAATGGAAAACAAGGAAAATGTGTTCATGTGTTCAAGGAAAACAGTCTTTTACTTTTGTTCAAAAACACTAAAGTCCGATCACCACGATCTGAAAAGCTATTTCGGAGGAATCAGAACAATAAGGGTGTTTTGCCCCCGAGGTGAGAGCACAGACAAGCTAAACATCCTGTACCTCAACAGATCGAGATGACATGAATGAGAGCATTTGTAACCCTCCCTCTGTCTCTCTGATATCTTTCAGTCTGTTGTGTAAACATTAAGGCAGAACACTGTTTGTGTTGACTGAAGCTATCAATAATGGGCCTTTATTCAAGTCAGAGTGTCATTACAACAGTAGTTCTGCTGTTGGCTCCTTTGACTACCTTACGAGACCCCCGGCCACATCGGCCCTATAGGTCACCTCTTATTGCCCTAGGATAGGATAGTCCATCTTATTTCTTTTCTTGCTGAGATTCCCTCTTTCTTTTTTTGTATAACCTACAATCAAAATATCGGACAAAAAGTGAAAAGTTAAATGGTTGATCTGTGGTTATGTAATTGGAAACAGAAACCGATGCAGATCTTGTGTGGCTATACAAAAACCCACAGTAGTGGGTCAAATCACCCTACAGTGATAGTAATCTTTCAATCAGAGAACGTCTTAGTTAAGGTCTGTTTACACCAAGCATGATAACTAAAACTATAAAGTTTATCACAAGTTTTTCCTTTACCCATCTTTAAGCTAATAAGGCGTATTTGGCTTGCTGTCCGGAGTGTAGGGGCTCGAGAAGTCAGCTTCAACTCAAGCTTGGATAGCAAGCTTGTATATGGTAGCAAGATGCCTAAATTATGTTGGTGCCAAAACAGCTGATGCCACAGCAAGATGAGCGGCTGTTTATATGCTCCGGCAGTTCATTGAAAGATTAGGTGGGTTCACTCCTCCTGATATTACGTTGTGAACTTCACTAATAATGACTCTGATTCTATGAGCTGTAATGGTAATGACACAAGGAGCGATATCATTGGAATCACTTTCACAACAGCTTTTTTTCTCCAAATGATGAACAATGAGAACATTGAAAATTTAAAACTGTAATTCAAAAAATAATAATAAAACAATGTGTTAAATGGGTAAATCCAACAACCTTTTTTCTTCTGAATTAGCATGGCCACGATGCTACTAAAGTCTGACAATCACAATATTAACACAAGTGGTAAAGAGAAAGCCACAAGATGAACTAAAGTTCACAAGCAGCTTATCCACATGGTAAATACTAACATACTATTTCTAACAATCTATTAACAAAATAAGATAAAAGTAACAAAAAAAAAAAACAAAAAAAAACAACAACTGTCACATAGGGAATTCTATGAATGTCATTTTACAGCTTTTCAACATAAATTATACGATTTTACTTCCAAAAATGGTACAGATGGGGTTTGATTTGTTTTTCCCCGTAAAATTGTAAGGGAACTATACTGTTAACAGACTAACCGGTATTTAATGTAGCATTTTTATAGTCGTTTACAGATAAAATTAATTGCAAACATTTAGTGAAATTTTATCTATTTTCTCATATTATTAGGAATGATACATGCACTGAAGTGACGTCTAGAGACATTACAACACTGATTTCATTGATGGAAGTTGTTTTTGTTTCAGCCAATTGAAACTTAGGATCTAATTTGAGACTGTTTGAGAAAAGATGTGCAAAAAAATCAGTGAGACATTTTGTGTAACTGTGCCCATCATTTTTTGCCCCCATAACCTTTAATCCTCTTCTCTTCTTTGAGAACACGTTTTTTGGGCACGAGGGAGGTACAACCTGTCACACACATGACATCATGACAACAGTAATCCACAACAATCCAATAAATTCTAAATGGAAACAAGTCCAGCCCTACACTGTTTCTGGTTTGAGAAGTGTTTACCCTGACTAATTCATGTGCAGTGACATCACATTTACCTTTGCTTGTTGAATTTTGAAGGGGCAAAATCCAGTCATTTCAATTGAAATCCATCCATGCCATCTAGAACTTCATGTGAAGATGAAAGATTCCCACAGGCATTTTTTTACAGTTGGTTCAAGTTGTTCAATTAAATTCACTGCGCTGCCACTGACTAACAGAAAGCTAATTTCTTTGAAAGAGACTTCCGTGTGAGCTATGTGTTGTGTGTGTGGTCACAGATGGTCAGTACATTTTTTTAATGTGGAATGAAATGGTTAAATGGAAACAAGTGTGCTTCTTCGTTGACTAAATTAGATACACCAGCTTCCTGTGGTGCTGCTGAGTGAATCACATTAAGTTTTAATAAAATAAAGAGCACCCTTCCAGCACTAATCAAAAGATACCACTGAACAAGAATGAGTGATTCCCGCTATACACAACATTAAGGGCAAATCTATAATTCACACTCTTTCACTTGTGTGAAGATGTTGTTTATCAGTGTTGAATATGATTGTGATTATACAATTCAACACACTATTTAGTTCTAACTTTACCATGGTAACCTTATATGTTCAACCTTAATGTAAGAACAGAACAAAAAAAAAACAAACACACAATTTGTGATGTGATGGAGAGATAATAATTCACAGCCAGCTCCCTTATTCAGTTAATAACCTTAGCCATAAAAATACATTATAAATAATGACTTCATAATCTAAACATACTTTAAGCTCATTTCCGGTCTAAGAAAGAATTTTAATTCGTTAGAAACAGGATGTGAGCACTTTCATAAAATGGTTAAAACAGCACCACATCTGCGGTTTGCTTGCAAACTTTTGCTTTGGTTGTGGTACAAACTGAACTCAGTATGGTTCTGATGGAGACTTACAACCATTCTCTTTGAATACAAGTTGTTTTACAAGCTTGCCCATATTGTATGACTGTATAAATGAGATTTATTTTACCTTCACTCAAGTTTTTCCTAAATTATTTATTTTTATGCTTTCACAATTACTGAGTAGAAAAACTGAGCTGCAATATAAGGATTACAGAAGGTCACTTTTAAGATCACAATAAGTTTATAATACAAAGCTATATATAATTATTTCAAATAAATTATATCACATACAATCGAATGCCGTGAAGGTGAAAGATTCCCTTTCTCAACCAGCTTAAGTTGTTCACTACATATTATTTGTGTCTATACATCTGGTCTATACATTGCTACGCTACTGACAAGTTGGCAACAGACATTTTTTGCCAATGAAATTTCACCAAAATGTGACACGCACTGTCACTAATCCCTGTTTCCTCATGATGATGATATTCCTCATCAATAAAGAAAAAAAGAACTAGCCTAAAACAGCAGTTTTTGTCTCATCTAGATTTAAAAAAACAGCATAGCAAAAAATGATGTGTTGCGTGTATGTGAGTTTATATGTTTATAATACAATTCTATTTAATTAAAATAAATTATCACACATAATTGATTTATTAAAATTGGAATCTTTTTCCCAAATATGGTTCACACTTTATTGTCTCTATAATGTTTGACAAATAAAACAGTTATAAATTTCAACCTTAAGGATTTCTTGAGATATTTGCATTTTTATCTTTTATCAGCAGTAATGAATTCGGTGGCTCTACCTATGCCAATCCTGCAGAATAAATGTCACTTGAATTGAGTGAGCAAAGGAGAATGAATGATGCAGCCCAAAGTCCAAAATAGAGACTCCTATAGATCCAGTGTGCTGTTGCAGCATTTTCTGTGCATACTACAAAAAAAACATTCACACTTCATACTAAATTTATCTGCCAAAGGTTTCATTTCCTCCTAACTCTTTCCGTTCAGTCTTTGTGTGTTGGTTATAATCCTACTGTATGTGTCCTTTCTCTGAATGATTGGTCCAGCTCTCTCTTATTTGAGTCTTCATGAAAACGGACCAATGGAAAGTTGAGTTGTTGCTCCATCCAGTGGGCTACTGTCAACAACTTCCAGTCCTGTAGTGTCTGACCAATCAGCTGCAGGCCAATGGGAAGACCTCGGGGTGAAAGGGCTGTTGGCACTGTCACAGCAGGCAAACCTGTGGAGGAAATGCATATTAAAGGGTTAGTTCACCCAAAAATGAAAATTCTGTCAGTATTTACTCACCCTCATGTTGTTTCAACCCCTTAAGACCTTCGTTCATCTTCGGAACACAAATTAAGATATTTAAGATATTAAGATCGCTCCTGCATACAGTCCATAGGCTTCTTGAGGTACTGGCTCTTGCTGTCCCCGAAAAGTCATTAAAGACATCGTTAAAATAGTCCAAGTGACTACAGGGGCTCAATCTTAACTTTATCAAACGACGAGAACACTTTTGTGCGCAAAAAAACAACAAAAATAACGACTTTATTTCAACTATTCACTTCCTTCTCCATGAGCCTGTAAGTCAGTTAACGTAGTGTGATTGCGTAGAGCTACGTCACACGTAGGCTCACTATTGGCCGACGCTGGTCATGTGTGTGTGATGCGTGTGACGTACAATAACAGAAGCTTACGCTATTAAACTAGTAACCTGACTCGCGCAGAGGGAGAAATAAATGAATAGTTGAAATAAAGTCGTTATTTTTGTTGTTTTTTTGCGCACAAAAGTGTTCTCGTCGTTTGATAAAGTTAAGATTGAGCCCCTGTAGTCACTTGGACTATTTTAACGATGTCTTTAATGACTTTTCGAGGACAGCAAGAGCCAGTCCCTCAAGAAGCCTATGGACTGTATGCAGGAGCGATCTTAATATCTTAAATATCTTAATTTGTGTTCCGAAGATGAACGAAGGTCTTACGGGGTTGGAACAACATGAGGGTGAGTAAATACTGACAGAATTTTCATTTTTGGGTGAACTAACCCTTTAACAATATGGTATAGGACTTATTTTGGCTTTAAAAAAGATCACAAGAAGATGGATGGACTTTTGATTTGTTGTTTCATTGGCCCATTAAACTCAGCTGGGAGTTTGTTTATACTGCTTCAGGAGACAACCCTGCTGTACTCAGAAGTCATTTAGCTGGAGTTCACACGTCCTTGACGATTGTTGTGATCACGCAAAACTCCCTGAATTACCTCAAAACAGGTGATAAACAAACCACATGTGCACAGGTAAAACCAGATATGGACGTGCAAGGACATGCAGGATCTCTATTGAATCTCACTCCATTGAGAAGAGTAATTTCTATCTCATATCCACTTCCTGTGCATACCTGCCATGTTGACAGGCTGGGTGAAGACATCCTCCTGAGCACTGCGTGTTCGGTTGTCTTCCTGTATGAAGTCAGAGTAGCGGGGTGCATCGCTCAGTGTTGTGGGTGTGAGGAGAACGTCTATGCCAGAGCGGAAGACCGCTTTAAAATCTTCAGTGATAAGACGGCGTGTTTGCTGGGCCTTCACAAAGTAACGCTCATAGTTCCTGAAAAGACAGGAAATGAAATGTTAAGATTTGAAACCCTGATATTTCTAACCACTCTATGAGAGCAAAAACCAAGGCAAAGCTGCATTAAAACATGCTACAGTACAGTAGGGTTGGATTGATACCATTTTTCTTTTTTAGCAAATCGATATTGCACCATGGTAACATTTTGTTAGTGCAACTTTTTTTGTACTTGTATACAATGCCAAGCTACAATGTTCTGCATTTTGAAAATCTCTGTATAGGTGATTGACATTTCTTTTTTGGCGCAGTTTCCTGACAAAAAAAGTGCAGGCCATGTGTTAAAAATAACTTCTGCAAGTAGCTAAGACTCAAACTGGGAACTAATGTACACTACTGTCCAATAGTTTGGCATCGGTAAGATTTTGAAAGAAGTCTCTTGTGCTCACCAAGATTGCATTTATTTGATCAAATACAGTAAAAACTATGGAGTCTATAAAGGGACTTGGTGATCTCATCTCATATTTGTTCCCCTGAGAAACTTTGCATTTGCTCACAAAGAATTCAAATGTTTTGCAAGCAAACATAAATCTCTTGGGGGAACGCAAACATTCATTCATTCATTCATTCAACACAGAGCATTGACAATTTTTCCTCTCATCTCATATTCTTTCCATCACCTTATCCCTTTAGTGGCTCCATAAAAACAGTAATAGTGTAAAATATTTTTACAATTGAAAATAACTGTTCTCTGTTTTATTGTACTTTTAAAATGTAATTTATTCCCTGCAATGGCAAAGCTGAATTTTATGCAGCCATTACTCCAGTCTTCAGTGTCACATGATCCTACAGAAATCTTTCTAATATGCTGATTTGGTATAAGAAACGTTTCTTCGTATTATCAATGTTGAAAACAGTTGTGCGGTTTAATATTTTTTGTGGAAACTAATACAGTTTTATTTCAGGAAACTTTGCTAAATAGAATTATCTGAGATTGAAACTTTTATAACAATGTAAAAGTCTTTACTGTAATTTTTGATCAGTTTAATGCATCTTTGCTGAATAAAATCATTAATTTATTTAATGGGATACTCCACTTTTTTTTTGGAAATAGGCTCATTTTACAACTCCCCCAGAGTTAAACAGTTGAGTTTCACCGTTTTCAAATACATTTAGCCGATTTTCTCATATTTAGAAGAATATCAGTAACCAGACAGCTTCTGGTCTCATTGACTTCCATAGTAGGAAAAAAATATACAATGGAAGTCAATGAGACCAGAAACTGTCTGGTTACTGATATTCTTCTAAATATCAAAAAATCGGTTGAATGGATTCGGAAACGGTAAAACTCAACTGTTTAACTCTGGGGGAGTTGTAAAATGAGCCTATTTCCAAAAAAAAAAAGTGGAGTATCTCTTTAAAAAACAAAAAATCATACTGACCCCAAACTTTTAAACGTCTGTCTAACTATAATGTCAGTGAAATGTATTGACAATGTATTAGTAGAAACTAAGCAAGTGAGCAAATTTGTGCATCTTTAAATAGAGTGTGCATGAGAAGGGCTATACAAACTAAGAATAAAGTAAAAGTGTTCAACGGATCTGAAACATTTGTGGTTCTGTTTTTGAGGCCCTCACGATTTCAGTAGGAAGTAGTTCCCTGAGAGGATTCTTCTGCGGACCACATTGTTGAAGCCTTCATGTCGTGTGGTGGCGTACATGGCATCTGTGGAGCTGTCAACCGCACTGCGATGGCCTGATGAGAAAAAGTGACAATTACAAAAACAAAAACCTTTTCAAAACTCAAATGGAGACGTAAAATTTTTATTTTGTAATTGTAGCTTTAAAAATAACACCAACATTTTAAACCCACCATGTAGATCTAATTGTTATGTGATGGTTTTGGAAATGTTTATGCTTTAAATACCATATTCAAGCCCATCGAAACGAGCCATGTTTGATGCAACCTCACAGCAACATAGGACGTGGTAACAGACGATGGAGTGCTGTGTGTGTGGAAGAGATACTTCTTGTACCCGCGCCCCTGCCTGCTCAAACATGGCTGCAACTCGACTCCACTGGGCCAGAGTGTCCTTAGACAGGCCCGGAGCATGATATTCCTAACATCATAAAAACTCTATTGAAATATTATACAAGCATATTAGCTGAATCTTACAATCAAATTTATTTTACCCCAAAAATCTGAAAAAAGAAAAGAAAATGAAGACCATTTTTGCATTGTGAAAGTATTATGCCAGTTAAGCATATTTTGCCCCATATTCTCATTACAGCCATAAGAAATAAACATAATACACTACTCCATTTCATTACTGTATTACACTAATCCTGCCTGGACACAATTATATTTTATTTAAAGCAGCATAAATTAAATTCAAATGAAATAATTACAATTGTGATGAATACATAACATTTTCATTTACAAATGTACTATGCAAATTAAGTAATTTTTTTACATTACAGTTACATAATAAATAGGTTAAATTAATTTACGGAAAAAAAGTAATGAATACTTTATAAAAAAAAATAATAATATATAATATTATAATATAATATAATAATAAATAATAATTAATTAAATTAAACATTAAACTAAAATGTCTTGACTTTTTTTTTTTACTTGACAGTGAGATTCTCTCAAATGCTGCATTAAATATCAAATGAATAATTATCTAAATGAAATTTTTTTCATTTGTATATGGTAAGATAATTTGTCCAACTTTACAAACAATGCTTGTTTGAATATTTGAGTTACCAGGCAAGACCCTTTTGCTATTAACCACACCAAGCTGATGTCACCCAGTGGATGGTCTGAAGGCAGCTTTACCTTTGGTATGCCAACACATATGTCTCTAATGTCAAAGTGTTCAGGAAGGCTAGGTGGGGTGTTGGGTGCCTGGACAGTTGTTGAGTCTTTCTCATCTCGGCCCTGCAGTATCCCTGAAAAACAAAACCACCCAAAAACTTAAAGTACAAATTTAAATGAGTGACTCTCATATGTTAATGAACGAAAGCTCTCCTACTCAAGACAGTGGCAGCATCATGGACACTCCTGGTCATGATTCCCGGCACGTCCATTGAGTTGACCAGAGGGATGAGGCCATGACGAGAGAGTAAGCCGTAAGAGGGTTTGAGAGCCACGACCCCACAGAGAGAACCAGGGTTTCGTGTAGAGCCTCCTGTATCAGATCCCAAGGCTCTAAGAGAATTTTTTTTAATGAATTCAAACATTTCAAACAATGCATTAACATGAACATGAACAAACATGAAAGACGCTCAGGACAGTTGATGGGCCAGTGTTGCATCCGAGAGCTAAATCTAAAATATCTTACACTGTGTTCCAAAGATGAGGAACAACATGAGGGTGAGTCATTATTATTAATGACATAATTTTCATTTTTGGGTGAACTAACCCCTTAAGTGACCCATACGTAAACAGTTGAGAAAGTAAACGCATGTATATCAGTATATTAGATCCATGCATTTGTCTTAAAGTGACAGCAGCCTAATATTTGTGCTGTCTGTTTTTAATATTAATCAAACAAAAGACAAAGAAAAAAAATGTATGCTTGTATTGAAGCGAAAGTCCAGGTGCTGGTGAATGCTGTAGCATGCAGAATTATATGGAGAGTTTTACACTCACAGGAAGCTGCTGAGAGAAGCCACTGCCGCTGCACTACCTCCTGAACTTCCTCCTGTGATTGCCCAATCAGAATCTGGATCTTCTTTGCTCTGCTCACGGTATTGTGTTGCATAGCTCCATGGGTTACGAACTGGACCGTACACCCCATCCGTACTGCCAGATCTTAAGAGAGAGAGAGAGACAGAGGAAATGCTCAGACTTGCAGAGCAGACATAATCTGTTCAATCTATTCAACTATGTACAGTATCATTGCTAAAAAAAACAGCAAAACATTAATATTTCTTACTGACTCCAAACTTTTGATAAGTAGTGTAGGTTCACACTTGGAGATATCTTACCCCATTGCAAACTCATCTAAATTAGTTTTTCCAACAAGAACTGCTCCTTGATCCAGCAGCTTCTGGACAACTGTAGCATTGAATGGAGGAACGTAACCTACAAATCCAAACAGACTAAATGTAAACCGCTCACAAATCCCCAGACACACCTCAAAGGTGCCTATCCTTCAATCTTGTTATTGTATTTTAGCTGACCTTTAAGCATTTTTGAAGCACAGGTGGTCTCAATGTTATCCGTACAGAAGTTGTCTTTTACAGAGAAGGGAATGCCGTCCAGAGGGCCAAGAGGTTTACCTTACAAGTATAAAAACATAGAGCACATGGAAATTATTATTCAACCATTAATCAAATACATTTAATGTGACACATACATACCTTTGCTGAGCCTGTTGTCTGCTCTTTTTGCTTGTTCCATGGCCGTCTCCTCTATAACGGTGATATAAGCATTCAGGTAACGTGTCCTTTGTATTTGGTTGATGCACTGTTTGCAGAGCTCGGTGGCAGACACCCTTCCATCCCTCAGTGCCTGGGACACCTGTCGTAGGCAGAAAATGTGGCTTTCTATTTTAGTAGGGAATTATATAAATGCATGCATCTGGATATTAAATTAAAATCTCATTACACCCTGCTGTAAACAGCCTAAAGGTACTACTTTACTGGTCATGTCAGACTGTTTTATAGGCAGAATTTAGAAGAGTTCTGAGTTAAAACATTAAGTAACACAGTGCCAAGAAAAACAGCACGGTGAATCCTTATATAGTTCAATTCTTTGCTGCAAGTAAGCGATATAACTTAATTTAAGGTTAAAGTAATCGTAGACCTCTCTAATGGACAGGCCGAGCATCGCTGTAGCCGGACGAAACCGAAACGCCGCACTGGAGGCTGACATGACACTTTCTGTTGACCTCGCTGACGTACCATCACCTCTGCTCTCTGATTGGTCAATTGAATAGCAATGTGGCTTGTTATTGGTTCAGTGCATCGTGTGAAAGTTCACCGGAATTGTTTTGACTTTGCAAGACTAGAGACGCGCTTTGTGTAACCAAGGAGTAATAGGTTTTATTTCTAATCGATGAAGGGTTTATGATACCGAAATAAATATCCTCGGGAGGAGAGCCCTGGAATATTTTTTTATGACTGATCAATCATGGTCATGTGTAGACGGTGGTTGTTGAGCTCGCTGAGGTGTCAGTATAGGAGCTTCAGTTTCTCAGCCTCCCGCAGGACTGTGATGCCTGCATGGGTCATCGACAAATACGGGAAAAACGAGGTGTTGCGGTTCACTAAGAACGCGGCGCTTCCGATCATCCACTATCCCAATGAAGTGATCGTGAAGGTGCACGCTGCGGGTTTAAACCCCATCGACATCAGTATGAGGGGTATGGGACGATTACATCACTGACTGATATCATTGTGTTTATGTAAAATGATTGTAGGCATCTTACATGGTTCAGAAATGTTTGTCACTTTCAGATATGACATAAGTGAGTGAGGGACAAATGACCACCATATTTCATGAAGAAAATATTTGACTTTGAACTGTAGCATGCAGTATTATAATTGTGGATTGCTTAGTCATTATGACCTGTCATTAGTGGTGCTTACTAAATATCATCATGTTACAATGAGTTAGAATTAGAATTTATATGTTTTTTTTTATATTTTAAATTATTTTAAATATATACATGTATATATGATATATTTACTGTATATAGTAATTTAAAAAAGTTTTAGTTTTTTTCTGCTTAATTTTAAATAAAACAACGTTTGTGAAAGGATGAGTCACAAGGCCTGTTGGGACCAGCCTGACTGGGTCCTTAACGCCATAAGTTAAACAATAAACTTGTTTTTTTTTTTGTTTTTTTTTTTAATGTTCAATAAATAAATTAAAATATTTTCTGGTAAGTGTTTATAGTTTATTTAATAAAGTCTTTTATGTTTCCCATAGGTGGTTATGGAGCAGCTACTATGGCCATGAAACGTGATCCACTGAGCATAAACCAGGCAGGCAGTGAGTTTCCTCTAATCCTGGGGCGGGATGTATCTGGAGAGATCATGGAATGTGGCCTGGATGTAAACTACTTTAAACCAGGAGATCAGGTGCTCAATTTAGTTATTATTATATATAATATCATAACTATACTGTGCATATATTTATGTCCAGTAATTACCCTAAGGTCTGTTTTCTCTGTTAGGTGTGGGCTGCTGTCCCTCCATGGAAGCAGGGCGGTCTGGCAGAGTTTGTAGTGCTTAGTGCCAATGAGGTAATATTTCATGTTTTGTTGTTTAAATGGAGAGAGCAGTACAGCAGTTGACACGTCACATGACAATTGCTGTCCTATAGATAATTACATTACTCCTACATAGAGAAGTTCATTGTTCATCTCTGATTTAGGTGTCCCATAAACCCAAATCACTTAGGCATGTTGAAGCAGCATCCATCCCGTATGTGGCTGCAACGGCCTGGTCTGCCATCGTCAATACCGGTGGCCTAAAAAAAGACAACTGTGCTAAAAAACGGTAAGTACTTGTTTGTTCAGTTTGAGTGATTGTACCACATTGTCCGTTGCTCCTGTTGAGGCGAGTGGGAGTAGGTCTTTGTTTCGTCCACTAAATAGGCTCATCTCACATAGAATCATATTTTTGTCATTTTCTTGTTGTAAAAAGATCATTTATGGCTATATACTGTATATAGTATATATATACTGTATATATACTGTATATATACTGTATATATATATATATGTCTCCTTTAAATTAAAAATTACATTAATTAGTTACCACATTGAAGCATGTATTAACAATTTTGTTACATTATTTTCAGATGATTATTATTTAAATACAACTGATTTGTTTTGCTTTGCTTTTGACCCTGTGATCTCAGCAACACTTGAACACAACAACGGTGATTTCAAATAATGCATTAGATGAATCATAATAGATGTGCAGCTAAGCCTGGCCGAAATTGATCTACATTATTCTTTCCCCATACAGCGTTCTGATCCTGGGAGGATCAGGGGGAGTGGGAACTTTTGCTATACAGGTGATGATGATAATTCTTTGCATGTAAGATTTTTTTCAATTTGCATAATATTAGAAACATTTTGGAAACAATTACAAATTAGTTAATAAGTAATAAAACACCTAATCATCGGTGTGTAACACCACTGTATAATTGACATTTTGATGTTGGTTTTCTCTACAGATGATAAAGGCCTGGGGCGCCCATGTGACTGTTACATGTTCCCAGAATGCAGAGCGACTGGTGAGAGATCTGGGTGCTGATGATGTCGTATACTACACTGCTGGACCAGTTGAAAAGCAACTACAGACTTTAGAAAAGTTCGTTTTTGGGCAATCGGTCAGTGGCTGTTTTTTTTTATGGAACTTGTGATTAAAGTTGAGTTAATTCTTTCGTCTTTTTCTCTCTTTCAGGTTTGATTTGATTTTAGACAATGTTGGTGGTGAAACTGAGAAATGGGCACTAAATCTTCTGAAACCCTGGAATGGTGCTAAATTTGTTACTCTAGTAACACCGTTCCTGCAAAACACAGACCAACTGGGCCTAGCAGATGGAATGATGCAGTCTGGAGTCACCATAGGATGCAAAGTGCTAAAGGTAGAGACTGCTTGTCCTTGTGCTGGTGAAAAACATCTGGAAATCTAGTTTCTTTTGGCATAGAGATTGCACAAGGCTGAATTTTCAGCATCATTACTCCAGTCTTCGTATGCCTTGTTTCCACCAAAAAAAAACTGGTACGGAACTGGTGTAGCAAGAACATCTTTACAAAGTCACATGATCAATGTCACAAATCTACTTAATCGAATATTGATCTAGAAAAATGATTATGCCCTGATGACTCAGTGAACGGCATTTCATAATCAAATATACTTTCCTTTCACTGCTATGACCCATTATTGCTTTCCACCACCTTGTCCTGTGGCGTAGGAAAAAGAAGTGAATCCAGAATGAAGGAAATGAAAGTGTAGAAGTGTCGGGAACCTGATTACCTGACATAAAATAATTTGTTAGTCAAGTTATAAATGTGGAGTTAGATTGTTCAGTACTAATTCTCTCTCTCTTTCTCAGCACCTCAGGAAAGGAGTGCACTATCGCTGGGGTTTCTTTGCTCCAAGTGGCCCAACGCTGGACGAGATCAGCGAAATGGTCGATTCTGGAAAGGTACATCAGACTGAGAGTGTATTTGATGTTTGTGAGACTCTAGCTGCATCTGAAAGCTGAAAAATGCTGCCTCCGCAGGCATGTAGGAGGGCAACAAGCCATCTATCCTGTGCTTTCCATTGCGTGACAGTTTAGCTAAAAAAAAAATAAAGATGGCATCTGATAGTTGCAGTGGGCAGTTACTCTGTCAATGTATGTTTTTGACCAACACTTTCCACTTAGATGTCATTTCTAGTTAGAAATTAGTATTGCAGCAAGTTAGTTATTTCTAAACCTCTCTATTTAGCCTGAGGTCATTAAACCCCTACGCTTCCTCGTTGTCAGACCTACGCCAGAGCCTCTACGCTATTGGTTTTTATTTATACTTCTGCGTCGTTATCCACGTTGATGCGTAATTACACATGCAGAGTGAGCATGAGAAAGCCGGGAAGCGGTTCTAGCAGACCAATCTTAACTTTATCAGCATGCAATACATATGTAATCACAGTTGCACATTTACCTTTGACTCTTAAGTCTTTACTGTTTGCTTGAACACAGAAATGATACAGAACAATCATTATGCGCTCGTGTTATGACAACTTGACTGTTCCATGGCGGGAACATGAAGGGCCACTACCCTCACGATAGACAAACACTGTACCAGACATAAACACAAGACAGCCGTATCATTGAAAGAGTAGTTATGGAGCTGTGGGATTTATGAATTTAATATCAGACATTAAAGAAGCGAAAGAAACCGAAAAGAACATTATAAAAGTTACCATTATTTGAATACAGGTGAAACTCGAAAAATTTGAAATCGTGCAAAAGTTCATTTACTTCAGTAATTCAACTTTTAGACTCATAACATGCAAAGTCAAATATTTCAAGCCTTTATTAAAATTTGCACGATATTCAAATCTTTTGGAGTTTCACCTGTATATCCTTTAAACTTTAATGTCAAACAACATTTAAGGGAGCTTTTTCTATATTGGATAGCATAAAAACTTTTTTTTTTAAAGTTAGAAACTTTTAACATCTAAGTAAAACTAAATAGTGATACAGAGAGAAACAGACAGGAAATGCATCTTATTTCCTTAAAATCATTGTGGTGTAGTGCCTGCATGTTCTGTTTGTTTCGTAACCAGGCATGTTTATATTTTCACTCTCAACTTCAAGACTGTGGTCAGTGAGGATTTGTTTAGATAAGATATTCTCCTTTAAAGTACATGATAATACAATATTTTTTGATTTAGATTTTTTTTTTTTTTTTTTTTTGTACAAAACAATACCCGGCCCGACTTTTGGTCTGATTTGTAAGTTACCTGTGTTGGAAGTTTAATTTATTTATTTGTTCTTTTTAGTGGTTATTCTTGAATTATGAATTAGTTGACTTTTGAGTTCGGCAGATCATATATTTTTTCAAAGGTGCCATAAAGTCTTTACAGAGACAGTTCCGGTAGCAAATCGTGCTCAAGGGCATGATGGTGAAGACAAGAACTTAAATCTTGTGTGGGTCAAACCAGCAACTTTCTGTTTACCTGCTTACAATACTAACTTCTACACATTTCACCCACAACTAAACTACTACATCCACTATGACTCAAGCATCAACTAATGCAGACCAAGCACACTTTAAAAGTTTATCTTCAGGCTTTTATATGAATTTTCAGTGAACCTGTTAGTGTTATTTAAAGTTACTTTTAGTTTTAACTTGAGTTTTGTCGTTGTGTGTCGTGTGTGTCGTTTGATCTGTTGTGTCGTTGTAGGTCCGTCCCGTGGTGGAGGAAGTGTTCTCATTTGCTAAGGTGCCTCAAGCCTTTCAGAAAATAGAGCAGGGTCATGCTCGTGGCAAAACTGTGGTGTCCATCACTGAGGACCAGAAAGAGTGACTATGGCAACCAAAAACCTATTGTTAAACCTGGCACTTTTTTAATGTCCGTTGAATTAAAAACATTTATCTAATGGCTTGAGTCTTTATTTTGCATTACATATTCGTATTGTATATATATTATATAAAAATATATATTAGTGTATATATATATAATAAGTCTTGTTCATTATTTCAAATATATACATTTCTGTCTTATTCATAAACAACTTGAAAAGCCAAACAAACAATACAAACGTTTTATTCTATATGTAACAGTATATTTTGGAAATCACGAACATAAAAATACTAAAACAGAAGACTGAACATAGACATATAGAAAATGTACAAACACACAAAACCAACTATCAAAAAACTTTATAAAAGAAAATGGAGACAGAAAATACTCTGCCTTTCCAATAAATGAGAGTATGTGAACAGGATTGAACTGATGCCAGATCAGCACGAATAGAAGGAAATGTTATATTTTCTAATATGTGCAATGGTGTTTTTTTTGTACTGATTTATCAGAATAGTCTCACATGTTAAACACTGTACAGCAACAGTAAAATAGTGTTTAATAAACATTCAGTGACTTTGTATGGCATATAACGTTGCCTTACATTCAGTGAAGTTTGTAATACCTGGAGAAAACTATCTATTTGTCTTCTGATTCCTTTCAACAGAAGTGGCTTATCTGGTGCAGGAGCCCTTAAAAGTTTGTCATTTAAAATGTGCTAAATTTACTCATGAAGACCTTAGTTCTCAGGTTGTTTTGAACCAATAAATGTGATTAATCACTCTGTAGCCACAAGAAAATGATATCATGACTGCCGATTGACTGATAGCACATGAAAATGCACAAGCACTTTACAAGTGACCATCCTGAGATGAGACGAGAAAGTTGAGATGTTAAAAAATAGTCTGTTTAAGAGCACTCAAAAAATAAGGCACTAGTAAAATATCTACTATACTATAATGAAATCTTTACGATTTATGTAATTCTTACAAAAAATAATTTAGTCAGAATACACAGCAACTCAAGAATTGGAGGAAGCTTTTTGCCCCATTAAGCAAGGGGTAAACTGCATCAAACTAACTAGCCAAACCTTGATTCTTTACAAATACTAAAAAATGAACAAGGCCATCTAAAGTGCAGCTACATACAAATCTTAATGCTATTGCACCCCCTTTTGGTAATATCTTTGCATTGCAAGCAGGTCAGTTATTTGTGTTTCTGGATCATACTAGCACGAAGTGGGTGCGTCTCATTCAGTTCCCTAGTTTACAGGATCATGAATCAGTATTGTGTGCATAAATTCGGGCACTGGTAAAGAGTCGAGTAAGGACCCCAGGCTCACTACACATTGGGACATTAATGACTATTGCCTGCGACATTGTACAACATCACTACTGGTGTTTATGAACAACAGCAGAACTGATATCTTAATCTGATATCTTTTTTTAGTGTTATTTAAAGTACATTCTTATAAATTATTTGCTTGTTACACATAGGTGCACAATTTCAGCCTTTAATTACAAACATTAGTTAAATTATGTTCATTAACTGACTATTGACGTAGTTTATGCTGAAATATAATTAAATAATGGTTTGCATGTTTAAAAAAAACATATATCTTGTGTCGTTGTGTGTAGTGAGTTGGCTGATGATTTATGTTTTGCACTTCAGAACTTCTGTTAGTGAGCGTCGATGCTCCCTGGTTTTCATGATGCATCGTGGGACGTTTTAGGTAATATGGAGCGAATGTTTTTAGGGAGGATTTTGCGATTTGAGACTGCTTTTAAAATGGCTGACTCCCTGATCAGTGCCCTGAATACTGAACTAGGGAGCTGATTGAGACGCATCCAGGGAAACTCTGGCAATTCTTTTTAATGTCCTTGATGTAGTCAATGAACTTCTGTTGAATGTTCAAAGACACATCACTCATTTAGAAACTGTAATGTAGACGGATGATTTTAAGAGATTCAGTCCCCCCAAATATTCTTATCTTGGGATAACAATCCATCAGTGAGAGAGACTAACAGAGTCAGAGTAATTTTTGGAGGTTTAGATTCCCATCATCTTGAAGACTCAGAACAGCCTCAGATCTCTGTTGTGACTCAAGCACTAAAGGATTTCCACTGTCCATCTCTGGTTGTTTTTCTGCTCATCAAAGGTGTTAAGAATTACCTGGTTTTTATCATACTGTTGGCCACCTGGATGAAGAATAGATTAAGAAGGTCAAATAACTCTCAAGATTTTAACAAGAACTAACTTTACTTCAAAAACAAATCCTGACAAAAACATAGCATAGTTAAAATATTAAGCAGCACAGCTGTTTTCAACATTAATAATATTTTTTTTTTGTTTTTTTTTTGGGCACCAAATCAGTGTATTTGAATGATTTCTAAAGGATCATGTGACTGAAAACTAGAGTAATGTCTGCTGAAAATTCAGCTTTGCCATTACTGGAATAATTTAACATTTTTAATATATTCAATAATAGACTGTATTTTAAAACATTTAAAAAGTTTTAATGACCCCAAACAGTTGAACAGTAGTGTACATGTATTTTATAGATGCTTTACATTAACATTATTGCTGTGGAAATTTTTTTCTTTGTTTCCACAGTAGTTTCAAAATTGATATTTTTAGGTCAAACAGTTCTTGTATGTCAGTCATTTAATGCAGGCCTATGGTCACCACCTCAAAGAGTATGCACCGAGAAGTCCAAATTAAACATGATTTAATGACTCGTAAATGTAAGTACACACAGGGCTGTGGTTACAAGAGGTAAAAACGATATAAATACTGTTCGCTTGTTTCGTGTCTTAGGCCATCAATGTGTACTTACATTTATGAGTCATTAAATCATGTTTAATTTGCTCTTTGAGGTGGTGATCATAGACCTGCATTATATGACTGACAGACAACAACGATTTGACCTAAAAATATCAAAATTGAAACTACTGCGGAAACAAAAACACCTACATATTGGATGCCCTTGAGGTAAGCTAAAACATACCAAAAATTAATTTCAAAATGAACTATGCCTTTAAATGACCACTAGATGGCAACACGGCTACTGCTGAGCGGACTGAAGTCAGGGTGGAGCTCAGGTTACAGTAATTTGAGTGAGGAACAGACTCATTCTGAATTCAGACAAACAAAAGGAGCCATACAGCAGTGATCTTTCATCAGAGATTACGGTCTCAGTCCAAATAAATCATTTAGCCTCATCTTACTTCTTGTTTGATGTCCCTGATCTCCTTATGCTTTAAATATAAAAACTAGTTTCCTTTCAAATATATTTAGCACCAGGGGCATACATAAAACATTTTGATCAATGACTTTTATAATTCAATGTTATGGCTGAATAAGGATTAAAAAAAAAGTATATAAATATTATACACACACACACCGCACATTCCTAGCTGAAGAAATAATTTAGTGATTTTATACTAGGCAAATCACACTGACCATAGAACCTTTTAAATTGTATGAATTATATATCTTTATTATATATTATAAACATATATTATATTTTAAACTATGTTAATTATATTAATATTTTACTATAGTACTGTTTGGAATATTATAAGCATTTAGATTGCACAGATTCTTTGCCTCTGACAGGATGTTGTGAAATTATGTGAGAGGGTCGAGCACAGTTGCTAATATCACACAGGTATGATGTGACATCAGAATGTGTCATCAGTACGAGATTATGAGCTCGTCAGTGGAGGGTGCAGTTTTATGATACACACACACCCTGTGCATGTGAATGTTTCTGTTTGTTTCATTCCAACCTTTCTGTTTCATTTCATTGTCTTTCTTCTTTCAAGCATATGCAAGTACTGACCTTTGACCTCCAGCACAAGGTCGGGCTTGAGGTTGTTGCGTATAATTCCGTCTCCCGTGATGCTCCAGAACTGATTGTCTTTGCCTGGTTCAGGTGAGACATTCAACCTGCAACCTGCCATCACCACACCACCAGACGTCTCCACACAACAGTCCTCTACCATCTGAAGAGCAAGAGAGAAAGATACTGGTCATGATCGGTACACAGAGCCATTACAGATGGAACAGTGTTGATCAAAGTCTCGAGTACCTTGCAGCGCAGTAGTCCGTTCTCATAGACCCACATCTGCTCTGGACCACCAGATTCCTCCAGCACTTGAACCCGGAGCAGCTTTATATCATCCAGTGGTCCAGACAGAGACATCAAGCACCCGGTCTCTGCACAACGCAGCCGGAAATAAACACGTTTCTATTGAGAAGACACAAGATACGTGGTTGTGTTTGAATGATTACAATAGCTGTAGGAGAACTACTGTTCATAAACATTGACTAAATAAATCTTCTTTCATAAACTCCACTAAACCATGTATTATTAAGCCATTATGATGATTACTGAAATGATTCTGGATTTACTGGAGTATGTGCACACGTTGTAAATGTGTTAGCTTTGCCCTGCCTTCATATGTGCTGTTCCCAAATTATTAACTCTCACGCCTAAGAGCAAAACTATCCAACACCCCTCTGCGTCTGAACACATACAGTACATATCAAATCATAAGTAATAATGCTTTGAGATGCTTCTGAGAACTACTGTAGAAATGTGCTAAATTACTCGTTGGGTTGTCTTAACCACTAGATGGTCATAGTGTGCCATCTCCAACTCTATTAGATGATCTCTAGTAGAGACGTGCCGGTGTTTTATACCTGTAGTAATGGGCGAAGAGAGCCAATCTGCCCCCAGCCACTGAACTTCTGCCAATCACCGATCTCGCTGGGATGGAGCAGGACCTGACGACCACGGAAATTGCTGTATTCATACAACACCCAGCTGTCGACAAAGGTAAATCAATTATTTGATTATTTAATCATAAATGAGACTAAATATCACTAACTTTCTACATCTACACTGAAATCAGATTGAGCTTTAAATGGGTCAGAAAACACTCACATTCCTCCATTGACCAATAGAGAGCTGACCCGCCCATCAATTCCATCCAGAGAAAGGTTCAAAACGCCGTCTGTCAGAACTATTTTACGCCCTCTGAAGCTGGATTTACAGAAGAGTGTGATTGAGGGTATAGAAAACTCCTGAGGTAGACAGAGAAACCAAAGAATGTGTTTATTATTAAATAAAAATTCAATGATTTAGTCACAGAAACCACAGAAAGATTAGGCGGTGAGACTGTATTTGATATGACACGACCAAAAACAAGGCTGTCCTAGAATTGAATATGTTGGACTGTTGTGTACCTGGGTTTAGATCCTTCAGCTAACAAAACACTGACTATACTGTATATCACAAATTCTCTCCTGTCAACATTTTCATTTTACTTCACCACAAACATGATTTTAAATATACATTACATCTTTTACATTAGACTTTTCTATAGCATATGGTGAAATTCCTTTTATTTTTATTATTATTTTCAAATTCATTGTAGATATTGTTTCCAAGAGTATTGTTCTAGTTATTGAAACAAATCCACATCTCTTTTAGCCAGATAAACGTTGGCAAGGGTCAAAAATACATGTACATGACCAATGAAAGTAATGTGTTGCTGCAGGACAGCCCTCGTCTGATAGGGCAAGTGACAGTTTCTAGCCTGGCACATCCTCACAGCCTCATTTTCAGTCAGACCAAATTAAATATTAATCAGACAAGCCTAGGGACTCCTGTCATCTTTACAGTACTCACATGTCCTACACTATGGACAGAGCTGATTTTGCAATCTGAGTTGAGTAAGCCCATAGCCTCAGGATTGGGGTATTCTCCTTCCTCCAGAACATACATATTCTCAGTGAACTGTGGGCCGTCGAACACCACCCAGCTTCAAGCACAGACATGCACAGAGAAATGTATCATTATTTTGAAACACTATGACTATACTATCCTCTTGGATTTTCTTTGATAGCACTGAACTGGGGTTCATACCTCCCAGCCAAAACTTTGCAGGACATGGGCTGGAAGCCCTCTGTCAGGAATGCCACACTTTCATCTAAGGCCTGTACAGTTCCCTGGAACCCCAGCTCAGAGAACAACTGCATCTATGAACCAACAAGAGGCAGAGAGTTATCAAAACATCACATTAATGATGCTTCAAAGAAGTTTCTTAATCTAAACTAAAATAAATGTAATTGACTAGAATAACAAGATCTTCACACAGTTCAAATTAGGCCTGCCTGGAATCTGAATTCACAAAGCATCTTGCTGCATGTTCATTTAAAAAAATATTCAAATTTGAATATGAGTGTAATTTCAGCTCCAATTAATTCATATCTGATTAATTCATTCAGATTCACAGTCAACGGAGAAGATGTGTATAACTGTGTGCAGATTCCATTTGGAACAATAACAATGTGCATGTCCATTAAACTCACCTTATATCTAGACAGTCCTTCAGCCTGATCCTGAGAGAGAGAGAGAAAAAAAGATATAGGATGCCATGTGAATACAAACACCAGCATGGTTTAAGTAACAATGTAACTGTAACTTTGAACAAATAGGGCCAATATTGCAGATAATGATTACCAAAACCACAGGCTGAAGAGACAAGATCTTGAAGTTGTGTGCTCCCCAATCATCTGGACTGCCATAGAGACCCTTCTCTAAAACATACAGCTCGCCAGAGAAGTGTTCCTTCTCGAATGCTATCCACCTGTTCAGTCAGATATTAGAGAATTTCACTGACAGGCTTACTTCGTAACCCACCAGACTTGGGGCCTGATGTAAAAAGATGTACGCACAAAAAAGGCATTAAATAAACATATGTAAATATATGCATAAACATGTGCGCACTGTCCACACACTCTAAACCATGCGTATGCATTGCTCTCTTTAATGACAGCGAAGAGTGCAAGGTGCATGATAATTACTCTTTAAACAAAATTGCAGAATTAATGATGCATATTTTTGTTTGGTGGTAGAAAAGTCCATTGGTCGGTTTAAAAAGATCCGATGACAATACTGTTGTGCAACCTGCTGTTGATGTTGTGCGTACACAAAAACAATTGTATTCGAAGGATAGAATTAGAAGGAAATGGTAAGATTTGCATGAATATTATTTTTAAATGTTTTACCTTATAGGCAAAATTGCATAAATTTGATTCGTTTAAAACAATCAAAAATACTATATGGCCAGTGGAAATGAAAGAAAATAACTTCTCAGAAAACTATCTCTGAAAAGTATTTTATTTAATTTTGCTTTAACAGATATCTTTTATAAAACAAGACAAGGATACTAAATGATTTTTAGCAGTGTAATGTGATGTTTAAAGTTCGTATCTCATATTTTCTTAATGTCTTGTACAGTTGTACAGTTTAACTGTTAAACAGTGGATTGGAATATGCATACGGAATATATGCAGATAAGAATATGCATGGTAAAACCAGGCGTCGTAAGCTCGATACATGGTTATTTCGGGGAGGAGACGGTGGAGATGCATATATGCACATGCACGCATGCACCCTCTGCTGACAGGGTTTTACAGATTTTACAGAAATTTTGTGCAGGTTCTGCTACGTACAACATGAGGTCCCTGATATCTGTAATATAGACCACATTCACATCCACAAAACTCACAATTTGCCACAAATTTCACATCCAATAAGGAAAATACGGACAGTTGAATGAATCAATCTCAGGTGGTAGGCAAAATGCCACTTATCTTATGAAGTAAACCACAGGCTTTAAATAAACAGAAATATATTGGACAGATACATAAAAAGACACAATAACATTGTGATTCAGTGTTAAATATGAACCCTATTCTTTTACTGATCTCATAATTTATTCATTTCAGTATCATATCATAGTCACACCCTTGACAGAGCTTCAGTGACACGTGTGCTTTTGAGTTGTATGTGTCTGTCTGTATGTGAACAAGAGAATAGAGAGATGGGTGTGTGTGGGGGGGTGGTTGTGTTTGCCACAGCATGACTTTTTTAAGATAACTAGAGTATGAATCTGCCTCAGGATATATGACACTTCACACTCATGTGCCACTCCTTTTATTAACACCAGAGCAGGTATGAACTTAAACCATGAAACAGCTTCATAAGATACCATTTATCAGAGTTACAGAGTGAATCAAGACTTCTGCTTTAACACATTGGTTTTAGAACTAGTTTATAGATCTTACAGAACTAGTTGATGGATTAACGGACAAAATCATCCTCCATTAATCATAAAATAATATATATACACACGCTACTATTCAAAAGTTTGGGGCTGATAAGATTGTATGCTTTTGAAAGAAGTATTTTTCAAAAATATAGAAAAAAATAGTAATAATGTGAATTATTATTATAAGTTAAAATAATTATTTTAATATATTTTCAAATGTAATTTGTTCCTATAATGGCAAAGCTGAATTTTCAGCATTTATTACTCCAGGCTTCAGTGTCACGTTATCCTACAAAAATCATTCTAATATACTGATTTGCTGCTCAAGAAACAATTCTTATTATCAAGGTTTGAAAACAGTAAAGCTGCTTAAATATAATTTTTTTGGGCACCATGATACTTTTTTTCAGGGTTCAAAAATAACCTTTTCTTTTAAAATGTAATGTTTTTAAATATAAATGTATTTACTGTCACTTTTTATTAATATAATGCATCCTTGCTAAAGAAAAGAAGGAAAAAAATCATTCCGACCCCAAACTTTTGAACATTGGTGTATATTGGTTTGATTTCCAAATATATTTTACCTTCAAAGCAAAGTTTTTAATGTTTTGATTCATCTTGAAGTTTGTTAGTTTGGTTTATGACTCTGAATTAGAACCAAGACTTCTAAAAATGTGAGTGGTGACTGTTGACTCTTGAATGATGAGTTAGATAACATCAGGAGTAGTCAAAAGTTATAATTCTTTCATTATTTCTATCAGAAGTTTCCCATGAGGGCTAATAAACATTTCACACAGATTTACAGCAATACTAAGGTCAAAGGTGTTGAAAGAAAGGAAGAAAACGAGAGAGTGATGTCTGAAGGAGGGAGATGGAACAAACAGACACTCACACTCCAGAGAGGACTTCCACTGATTGCGTCTTTATGCCAAAGCCAGTGGCTTCCATGTTGATGACAGGTTCCAGCAGGTCCACGTTCATCCCTCTCTCAGTGAAATCACGCTCACTGAACATTCTTATGTGAGGAGTGATGAAATCCTACAGAAGGACACAAAACCATGAAATGACTTACAACCTCCTTATTCCAAGAAAACGTCGGTGCAAGTCAGAAAAGCACAAAGCTACACAGTTTGTTAATGTGAGGAGGTTGTGCTGTAAATTGTTTATTTAACATTAATCTTAAGCTCTTTTGTTTCTGAAATGGTCTCCATGTACATACTGCTAACACAGGACGTATAGATTGGAGCCTGTCTTCCAGTCCACCCCAGTCAGTGAAGTCTGCATACTCTCCTTCCTCCAGAAGATACTGGCGACCCTCGAATCCTGGAGCAGAGTACCCTACCCAGCTATGTATGAACAAAAACATCAATCACTGTCTGAGCTAGCAAAAGGCAATAAACCAGCAAGAACTGAGGATATGTGTAGATCTTCAGACTTTGTGACCAACAAAACCAAGATCAGTCTTACTGCCAAAAAAGGAGCACACTCACAGGCCACTCAGGATCTTCAACGAACCGACAAAACGGAGTCTCTTTCTCCTGGTGTTGTCAGGACTCTCAGTCTCCTCTTCTTCATTTTTCTTCTCCTCTTCCTCTCCTTCATCAAAGTCATAAATGTCCCTTTCCATCTCTATGTACTCCCCTTGGAACATTGGATTTTCAAAGAGTACTGCCTAATTTCAGACAGAGAAAAACACTTTACAGCTTCCTGCAAAATAACTTTCAGTCAAACACATGAAGCAACATGAACAATTTAAGCAAGTTGCAGCAAGATATCTGTTTAGAGCATTTTTACTCAGATAAACAAATAAATAGCACAGACAGATGCAATAACACATCCTGCGTGAAGTGAACAGACCCGAACACAACATCCCAGAATATGACCAAATGAAATGCTACAGAGATCTTAGAGATGATTTATTTTTCATACAGCAAAATTTAACTAGGGGTGTGTTTATGTGTGTGCGTACATTTGTAGGCAGAATATTCTGAATTCTGTAAATTCTTCCTCCAGAGTTGGTGAGGCTCTAGCAAAGCCAACTCAAGGCCTGTATACAGCACTCAGAACCCAGCCAGACATTAGATCAGGAACGTCAGAAACCTTAGAGGCACAAATCACGCAAACTAACCCGGCTCCCTTAGTACATGTGTAATTAAATCATTATGGGATCACAAGCCTCTGCTGTGAGATCCATGTACTGCCAAAGTTTTTTACTAACTGTAGTTTCAAAGTCAGACACAATGCTCCTGCTCTTTCACGGCTCAGAAATCAAAAGAACAAATGCTGGCAAGGCCTGAGAAAGCAAATAAGCACAAATCCCACATCTTGGCATGCTCAGTCTGGTCCAGACAACCTGCATCAACAGGAACCTTTAATTCCAGGCTGTACAGAAAGTCTTTCACCAAATAAATGTGCAAAATTAGTCTTTAGTCATTTCTCAGTGAACTACACTTATTGGCACAATCAGTGTTCAATGAGATTTAACAGGTACATCTCACCTTAACTTCATTGGGATTTTCCACCTTAATTTCACCCTGTGGAAATCATAAGGAACAATTTTATTTGAATCTCTGTTCATATATCTTGTTTATTAATGATGGAGAAAAAATTAGTGCGTAAAAGTGAGTGGTGGAATGTAATTACCATTTTCAAGGGCCGCAGTGATCCGACAAATGGGGTGGGAAAACCCCAGTCCTGAGGGCAGGGATATACACCTTCCTCCAAAACAGCCAAAAGACCCTGGAAACCTGGGTCACTAAAGACCAGCCATCTACAAACACACAACTTCAGTAAGAATACATCTAACAGTCTTTTTACAGGAAAAAAAATGATTTTTAAAAATAGTTAAGTATTGTGTTAAACCTGGTAAAAGATAACTTTCATTTTGTACATTAAAAACAAGCTTCTTGAAGCTTTGGCAAAGAACAAACATACCAAGGCATAAAAAAACTATTTTGAAAATGTCATCTCCAACCAACACGCAACAACAAGAAAGAAACATTCCATTCAGACACACAGTTTCTTTCTCTCAAAAAGTCTTGCAACTCCAATCATCGGTCACATGCTTTAACCTCAAAACTTTCCACTTGATCATGCAGCGAGGCCAAATATGAGGCTTGTGTCCTTCATCTCTCATTTTAGCTTTGAGAGATCAAAGTTTTACTCCCATATGCAAGATTTTTTTTTTTTAAAAGAAACTACATACTTTTATTCAGACAGGAAGCAGTAAATTGATCAAAAGTGACAAAAATCTTTTTAAATGTTACAAATGTCTTTACTATTTCAAATGAATGCAGATTTTTACTTTTACTTTCCATTCACCAAAGAATCCACAAAAATATTGAACAGCACAACAGTGTTCAACATTGATAATAATAATAATATTTCTTGAACAAAAAACAGCATATTATAATTATTTCTGAAAAATCATGTGAGTGGAGTAAAGGCTGCTAAAAAATCAGCTTTAAAATATATGAAAATAGAAAACTTCACAATATTACAATTTTTTTCTGTGTTTTTTTATCAAATAAATGCAGCCTTTGTAAACATAAGAATCCAATATAAGCAGACATTTTGACATTTATTTAAGATCAGAAGCTCACTTACACCCCACAGTGGACCTTAATGGACCCAGTACTCTGAGGAATACCAAATGAACAGGTTTCTATGGTGTCATCACAGAATGAAGACATTCGGCCCATCCCATTCAGCTCTGTGAACAGGTCTATTTTTGGTGTGCTGTAGTCCTGAGAGGAAAATATCAATGCAAATCAAAGATCAAACCATGCACGCCAGTGCTTCATTTGCATTTTTCAATGCATATTATACTTTTTTATTTAAGAGATTCTTTGAGTAATTGTACAGAGTAATTAGATCGGAGGTCAGGTGTTAATGCATGTGACTCATGATTTTAGACTTACCCTCAATGCAAGTCTAATGGAGCCAATGACCATGGGTGTAGTTGGGAGTGGCAGGCTGTTTGTTCCCATCTCCCCACTGGGCTCTGTCTCCGCCCACTCATTTGCTAAGTCAACTGACCCCTCCTCCAGTGCGATGGATCGGCCCTGGAAGCCTGGCTTTTCATACAGCAACCAGCTAACAGGACAAAACAGGAAACATTTGCAAACTTGCAATTTAAAGTGTCACCAGATTTGTCACATTCTGAAAGGGAGGAAGTGATTGTTTCTACCATCCTCTGACGACCTTTACAGAGATGAGTGGAGAAAGTGTCAGAGAGGTGGCATCCTCTACGTCTCTGAACACCTCGTATGCCTCTCCTCCAGAATGAGGTTGTTGGTATATAACAATCTGCAAGCAAGTATATTTAAACACTCTCCATAAGTTATATGGTTTCTTCTTGCTTATAACTGGAAAGTAGCAATAAACTAGTTGTACTAAAATACGTACTAAATAAATATAGTACTATAAATATCATAATTTATGATCAATTTTGTATAGATCCGTTCAGTTTTCCAATACCTTTCCTGGGCGTCTGTGGAAGCCTCTGACACCTGATGTCTAGAAATCAAAAACAAACTAGTTGATATTCAAACATTATATCCAATATAAACATAATACAATTATGACATAACATGTATTACATTTTTAAAACTACTTTGAGAGATTGACTGGATTTTGGATTTAAAATAGTACTGCTCACTAAGGCACCGTCATCAGTGGTACAAACTGAAGCCTAGAGGGCTCAACATTCCCCTTAAACACAGAACAACATAAATTCCACTAATAAAAGACCCGGCAGGTACAGACAACGCAAGTGATTTCAACGGTGAAGCTAGACTTCACCACATCCCTGCAGCAAATAAACAATAAACAAAGCCTTTATACACATTATGCACTAGAGTATATAGCGCATGATGTTCACTATACTATACAAGCAAGAACTTAAAATGAAGACTTTTTAGGCTTTACTCAAAGGAGATTTTTTTAAACAGTGGGCATTCTGTATTAAGAAACTTCCTTACCTCTACATATGTTGGTGAGAGGCTGGTGGGTGTGAGTAGTGGAATCTGCTGAGTGCTGTTGGATGGAGATGTTAATCCTGATATACCTTGCAGTCCAATGTTTGAATTAAATGTGTTGGAGGTGAGACCAATATCCAATGTAGGGAGAGAGCTAGTGTCAGGCTTTTGCTGGTTAATTGAGTTGGATTCTTTGCCTTTATTCATGTATTTCTCCAATACGTCAGGCAGTTTGACTTCTGAGAAAGTTGGAAGAGGAGGAGGTGTCAATGGGCCCTTTATTGAATCACCAGGTTCACCCTTTACATTGCCATGATCTGGCAAAGCCCACCAAGCCCCTCTTTTGGAGCTGTGACAGCATGGGACAGTGGTATACCCTTCTGCTCTCCTGAGGTTGGCACCACCTCTGGTGATGGCGTTATGGGGGACTGAATGCCATTAATGAGAGAGCTTGGTTCAGTTCTGGCTTTTCTTGATGTGTTTGAGTGGTTCACGAGATTCGAAATTATTGACATTCTTTCCAATCTTGAAGACATTTTTCCAGAGCCTTCTGCGATTTGTTTTTCTCCATCATTTTTCTCATCAGTAACTGTGAGCTTTTTAGTTTTGTCTTGTTCCCGTCTAGATGAAAGACCTTTGTAAAGCAGCCTTTCCTCAGCACGTTTGGGCAATGAGTTGGTTTTTGCCCCTTTATTGCTCTTCTTAATAATCATGGCTGGAGAGGGGTCTTTTGGTCCTGCAGTTTTTCTTGTCCCAAACTGGAACTGTTCTGGGTCAAGAATCTTTTCAAAGTGATCTTCTTTAATGGCCGGCATGGCAAAGGGTGGCGAAGGCATCTTGTTCTGCCCATGTTTTCGTGGAGGCAAAGAGAAAGGGGAGCAGTTCTCTTTAATGTTACGAATGAAATCATCAAAGTCACCCGAAGTGTCAAGCTGATTGTCATCACTTGCAGAACAATCCAAACGTCTCTCGGTTTTCTTTTTCTCAAAACTTTGGTCCACGTCTAACCAACTAGATGGTGCCTTGCTAATTTGTGAGAGGTTTTTGGGGTCCAAAGGAAGATTCTGAGATGTAAATTGTTGAACGCTTTGGTCGGATGGTAGTTTCACCTTTTGCAAGTTAATAGGTGGTAGTTTGTTGGTATCTTTTGGTATCTTTGTAAAATCCTTGACTTTCAGGTTAGACTCTGTATTTTTAATTCGATTTTCACTCTTCCTGTCCACTTTGAGAGTCTGTTTATCTGATATTTTTTTAACTGATGGAAATTGTTGCTCTAAAGACTGATCACCTTTTTGAACAGGTTCTTGTTTAGAAACAGCCTCTGGAGCTGTGGACACTACTACTGCCGTCTCATCAACTTGCTTTGACGTATTGGATTCATTCTGTTTGACACATTCTGGGTTTGTTTTACTTGAGTCTTCAGACTGAACCAGTTGCTTCTCTTTACAACTTTCTTCTTTATTTTTAACATTTTCTTCTAGCTGTATAGTTGTTTTTGGTCGTTTCAAATCTGAATTTGGAGCATTTTTCACACTGTGCTCTTTGGTCTCCATCTTCTGGACGATCTTTGATAAATTCTCTGAAATCACTGGAGTGATTTGTTCTTGAGAAGGGCAAGAATTCTCCATACCTTGAGAACTCAGATTACTGGTTGGCTCTTTCTCAAACCCAAGAGACTTCTCTTTGACAACATCTGGCAGCTCATCAGATGCAACTTGCACATGTGATTCTGTTGAAACTGGTAAATTGGATTCTGTTGGTCGTTTTATGAATTGTAAATTGTTTTCTGAATGCGACACATCTAGTTTGTCTTTGGTTTCAGCAGCACCAGATTTTTCATCCTTTACTTCAGAAGATGCTTTTGATTGTTCAGCTGTCTTGGGTTTTTTGGAAAGTTCATCTGTCTTAGTAAGGGCACATGTCTCTTCTTTGAATCCAAGAAACTTCTCTTTTTTGACAACATCAGACTGCATATCTGGCATAATCTGGACATGCGACTCTGATGAATCTGGTAGATTTGATTCAGACTGGCTTTTTATGGTTTGCAAATTGTTGTCTTCTGAAAATGACACTTCCATTTTGTCTTTGGTTTCAGCAGCACCAGATTTTTCATCCTTTACTTCAGAAGAAGCTTTTGATTGTTCAGCTGTCTTGGGTTTTGTGGAAATTTCATCTGTCTTAGTAAGAGCACATGTCTCTTCTTTGAATCCAAGAAACTTCTCTTTGACAACATCCGACTGCATATCTGGCATAATCTGGACATGTGACTCTGATGAATCTGGTAGATTTGTTTCAGTCTGAAGTTTTATGGTTTGCATTTTGTTGTGTTCTGAAAGCGACACTTCCAGTTTGACTTTGGTTTCAGCAGCACCAGATTTTTCCTCTTTCATTTCAGAGGAAGCTCTTGATTGTTTAGCTGCCTTGGGTATTGTGGAAAGTTCATCTGTTTTAGTAAGGGCACATTTCTCTTCTTTGAATCCAAGAAACTTCTCTTTGACAACATCCGACTGCAGATCTGGCATAATTTGGACATGCGAAACATCTAGTTTGACTTTGGTTTCTGCAGCACCAGATTTTTCACCCTTTCTTTCAGAAGTGGTTTCTGATTGTTTAGAAATATCTTGAATACTCAGATCAATGGCTGTATAATGGCCCATCTCAGGTATTGATGAAATATCATTTTCCTTGATAAGGCCATACTTCTCTTTCTTGAACCCAGTAAGCGGCTTATCTTTGACTGATTGCTTATCTGTTACATCGTGAACATGTGGGTGTGATGAAATCGGAAGATTTGACTCTGTCTGGTGTTTTTCGAAGTGTGAATCATTCTTTTCTGAAAGTGGCAAATCCAATGTGACTTTAGTATCAGTGGCACCAGATTTTTTACCATTTGTTTCATAAGAGGCTTTTGACTGTTTAGCCGTCTTGGATATTGTGGAAATTTCATCTGCCGTAGCAAAAGCACATGTCTTTTCCCCAAACCTATCAATATCCTTTTCTTTGGCAACATCTGACTGTTTATCTAATGCAACTTCCACATGTGGGTCTGATAAAATTGTTAGATTTGATTCTGTCTGTCGATTGGTTTGACAATCATTTACTGAAAGTGACACATCTGGCGTGACTTTGGTCTCAGCAGTATCACAATTTTCACTCTCCGTTTCCGAAATGGCTTTTGATTGTGTACAAATAATTTTAACTGTGTCAGATTTCAGAGCAGCGGTGGGTGTGACAGACAAATTTGTCACCATCTTCTCACATTTGGCTATTTTTGAATCTGAAACTGCAGTTGCCTCTGCCTTCCTAAAATCTTTCTTGGGTTTAAGTTTAGTGGGACTTTTGAGACGTGGTGTTGCTGACTGTAAATCACCCATGTCCTTAACAGGGCTTTTCAATTTGAGCTCTGGTGATACCCTGGCTGCAGCATTCCCAGTGGCTTGAAGACATTTGGAAGATTTTCCATTACTTTCAGGACCGATAACCAGTGATGACTCATTTCTCTCTGGCTTGGTAAGTGGCAGAGAAGTGGGTTCATATGACTCACTCTCTCCGTGGGCAACTTCTTCATCTGAGGGCTGTTTAAGCGGGCTCGTTGTTGTCATTCGAGGCAGCCTCCTTCCTGTTGGTGACACATCAGTCATGACTTTTCTTGGACTCTTTGGCCCGCTTAGCTGGGTTTCGTTCGCTGACTTCTCCTTTTCTATGTTCTGCTCTAATTGGTCAATGCCAGGCGCTGAGGAAGACAGTTTTACCTGCGTTTTGTTGCCAGTGTCACCTGATTTGACTTTACTCTTTGAATAATGAAAGCTACTCTTTGATGTTGGACTTCTGTTATGGATATCTTTACATGCTTTGAAATCAATGTTAACCTTTGTTGAATTAGAATTCTCCAGTGAAGATGGGGAGGATGGGGATTTATCATCAGAAGCAGAAAATGATTTTTTTAGACTTCTTTCTCTTTTAGGCTTTGAAAGAGTGACCTGTTCATTAGTGGGTTCAGAAGTTTTTGTCATTAGTGAGGCATCGACCACATCCCTCTCTTCCACGCTCTTTGTCTGTGACATTTTCTGCTCTGGGCTTATTAATCCTGCCCCATTCTGACGTTTGGTGGACATCTGTCTTTCAGCTTCGGTAGACACACTATACACTGTGACAACCTCCACCACTTTTTTTGGTTTTGTTTGAACCTCAGGTCCAGTTTTCTTAGGAATTCTGGTCTTAGTGTCAATTGGTTTACTAAGTGTAACAGATTGGTCTTTTTCTGTTGGAGATCTGATCTCTTTTTGGTCTGTCTGCTTCTGCGAAAATCTCCGTACTGGAGGCATTTCCATCGTTGATGCCTCAGAGAGGCTTTTAATGCGAGACATTACAGCTTTTGTTTTAGGGGCAACTTGTGGTGGAGGGCTCTTCACTTTAATTCCCCCATTTGTTCCACTTGCAGCTCTGTCTGTACGCTTGGATGGCACAGATGAGTTTTGATGACTGCTCATCGCACTATTAATTGTTATTTTATGAATTGGCATTTCTGGGAAATCAGTAGCGTCTCTATTCTCTGTTGAAAGTTCAAAGTGGCTCTCTACATCCTCATCGAGAGGCTGCTCTTGAATGAAAACAGCACAATCTTCTACCGACTCATTTGTCTGTTGGTTGGACTGCTTGACATTCTCACTTTTGGGGTTTGGTAATCTGTGGAAAGACAAAGGCAACAGCAATGTTAAGAGACAGGTATGGGAGGATCCAAGCAATTGTAGGCTTTCAACAGCATGCATCACATTAATGAGAAATAATTCAATTTCTTCAAGCGTGTAAAAACTCGATGTGCTAAAGAGCTGAAATTATTTCAGAACATTTTTATGAACTTGTTTGACTGCATTTTTAACCTTGGCATCAGCATTGCACACAACTTAAACAGCTTAAACTTTTAACCATGACACAGACTATCAAATTATTGTGTAGGCTTTTAAGATTCCACCGCTGAAAGGGCTGATTAATCAGAGGTGAACTTGCACAGAATTATTCAGGTAGATTTATTTTGTTTGAATTAAAGATCAAATCAAACAACAGCTGCTGATATAGAAACCCAAGCGATCCCTATCTTGACAGTGAATCACTTGCACTTAATTTCCATTGTACAGGTGTTCTTTTATCACAGTTGTAGATGAAAAAATGATAAAGAATGAGAAAATCAAATCAAATGACATAGAAACAGCAGTTTTTAAACATTAGACAGCAACACTCATCTACATTCTTCCCTAAAGAAAGTCCACAACAAAACTAAAATAGCTATAAAAAAAAAACTAGTTTAAATGTTTAGGGTGAGTAATTGTTTTAGTGAGGATGCATTAAATTTATCAAAAGTGTCAGCAAAAACATTTAGAAAGTTATATAACTTTCATCATGATTTCCTTAAACAATATTAAGCAACACTGCATTCAACTGATAATAATAATAAATGTTTCTTGAGCAGCAAATCACATTATTTAGAACGATTACTGATAGATCATTCAACACTGAAAACTGGAGTAATGGCAGCTGAAAATTCAGCTTTGCCATCACATTAATAAAATACATTTTAATATACATTAAAATAAAAACTTTGTTTTTTAATTATAATAATATTGCAAAATATTACTGTTTTATTGTATGCATTGTGTGCATGCGAGACTTATTTCAAAAGCATCGACCCCAATCTTTTGAACGGTAGTGTGTGTATATATATATATATATATATATACATACAGAAAATGTAAAGATCTGAGAGTCATTGTTCATCTCATACTCAAAATCATGGGAAACCAAGTATCATATTGCACACAGTAATCTGCACTGTACAGACTGAACAAAGGACTCGCTGCTCAGTAACCCAACACAGACACACAAAAACAACATAAGAGCACTTACATTTTCACCCTAGCCTGCTGTACATTCTGCGTTATATCCAAGTTATTCTCACTTTCAGTTTGTTCTTCCCCGTCTAGGCTTGATTGAGAACCAACTAACAGTCTTTTAGCAAAGACTTTTTCACTCTTTGACAGTTTCAAGCTTCTGCGTTTCTCTTCATTGCTGTCAGCATGTAGGGGTTTAGGAATAAGTCTCTCTCGAGCTTCCTCGTCTGGTGGTTTAGTGCTGTCTTGTAAGGTGAAGTTGCCTGAAGAAAGACCAGGAGTGTTGCTGGCAACTGCACCGAGGATAGAGTAACTCTCAGTTGGGCTGGCCAGAGCAGGTTCTGCAGGAGAAAGTGAGTCAGTAATGGAGCTCTCACTCTCCTCCTCTGTAAGGTGAGTTTCCGCCCACACAGCTCTGTGTACTTGACCAGGTGAGGGACAAGACTGAGCTGACCTCTCCTCTGCCTCAGGGGAAGTAGTGTTTGTTGGGGTGAGAAGCTCATTATTGCCTTCTTGATTACTTAGTTTGCGTGATTTTCGTTTCTTCCCCATGCTTTCAGTTACCGTCTGTTCTCCAGGCTGAATGTCAGAGGATGGTGAGTTTCTAGAATGTGATCCCAGCGTCACCCCGACCAGCGCCGTGTAATTCCCACCTCCTGTGATGGTGGGTTTCAAAACTGTTTTTTTACTCTCAGTCCCCCCTGAGGCCCTGGAATACTTTGGCGTGTCAGGAGTGTGTACAGGGACGTCTGCACATTTCTTTTTTGTTGTGTCTGTTGTCACCTCTAGGTATACCTTGAGCTTCCTGTTCACTTCCTGCACCAGATGCTCGGTCTTCGTGTCACAGGAGGTCTCGACCCTGCTCACTTTGACCACTTCCACCTCTTTTACGCTCCCTCGTCCACTACTGCCACTGTCGGCAAAAGGCAAGTCTCCTCCACATGCGACGATGGAAGCTACGCTACACACACTGGGGCTTCTGTTCTCTGGACCAAAGTCTGAATTATCATCAATCTCTCTGTGTTGAGTCTGTCTCAGTTCGTCTGATCCTGAGTACTTGGTTGGGCTGTTTGCCACTGGCGACAAACTTTCATCCCTGTCATCTGATGTGGTCCTGGTTTTTTTCTTCCGAGTGAAAAAACTTCCAATACGATTCAAAACTCCACTCTTCTCCTCAGAACTCTGGAAGAACAAAGACAAGTAAGAACACCTAAATAAAATACAAATCTCAAATAACTATTATTAAACTTGAGTACTTGCAAATGTGCTAAGGGGGTTACAGATTTTGAAAATTATTAGCAATTTTAGTTCTAATGACTAAATTATGATAAATGATTTATACAAAATAACACCAATAATACTGTGTATTTCTGTTTTGGCAAATAGTAATCCGAGTTCTGACATTTACTGATTTACAATTTACTTATTCAAAATATGCAAAGTAAAGAGTCACTGCATTGTTTGTATTCCCAGCAGTCTTGTTTTAGCATTCATTCCATTTGTTGGAAGGTAAAAACCCAAATCTATGCTTATTTCCCACATAGAAAAGCATAGGTAACTACGGTAACTGGTATTTGTTTTCCCCCAACTGCCAACTGGCCTCCTTAAATGACATCTATACGGCACAGCTTATCGTAACCGGATTGCTTCAAAATCAATTATTCACGATTACACTCTTACATAATGCATAAAACCTTAATTATAGTAAAGGAATTCAACACAAGATAGCCACACACAATCATTGGAAAAAGTATGTAAAATGTCTCCAGAAAGACAAGTGAGACTTGAGACAAGTCCCAAAACCTCTACTTTACAATCTATGGTCTTCAAAACCTGAACATGAGACCAACCCACTGGACCCAGCAGCCTTTGCGGGCACTCTAAGATGAGTGATGTGCAAGAACAGTCACCCGGGAACAAGAGGAAGCACATCAACAGAACATTCAAGTCAGCACACACAACCCCAATTAGACATACAGCCAACAAAATACTATATTTACAGTAATTATTGTTACCTAAAAATGTGGTACATGACATCAGGTTTAATACTTTATTTTTTAAACAGTGACATTAATGTAAAACTCCAAATATTACATTTTAAATGAATCAAGAATATTTTTTTTTCAACGGAAACATAAAATATACATTTGATAGATAAACATAAGTAAACATATTAAGTACTTAATTTATAATTAATTAGGTTTGAGGGAGATCTGCTCCATCTTTCAGATACATAAACATAAATTGTAGCGCCACGTTGACAATAACATAAATTCCAGACTCCCGCTGCAGTTAGGCTACTTATACGTTTTGGGGAAAAAAATCTAGGCCTAACGTTAATTATATAAAAAAAAAAAAAAAAAAAAAAAATGAAATGACTAACCTCATACCGTGCCAATTGCCCGTTAATAATAAATGATCTTTTCCTCTACAGAGCAGTTCTCTGAAACATGTACCTCCTTGCTTTTATCTCCACCTACTAAAGTCTGATTCATAAACGAATCATTTATTGGAGTCGATACCTTTCAGTGATTCAGTGATTCATAAATATGTCTGGTGTGCGTTTGCCACAAGCATTGACAACTATGGTCGCAAGTTCAATCGAACTGTTAACAGAACCAACGACCAAATAGTTGGCTTTGAGAAACGCACCCCTGACCGAGTGAAAAGCAAACTTAACCGAATGATAGTTGTATCAATGGACATTAAACGTTTTCAGCTGAGATATGCAAAATAATGGCGTAAAAGAATCACTGAATTATTTTGAACCGGCTCGTTTGAACAAACTGTTCAAAAAAGTGATTCGTAGGATCACTGTAACTTATCCTAAACTAGGACAATGACGGTGTCTCAAAACCGAGTGTTGTGGCTGTCAACCAACACAGTATTTGGGCAGTAAAGAGGGTTTCGATTCAGCTCAGAGCGAACCCCTGCGTTACCGATCACATAATATGATGGCAGCTCAATCATGTGTTTTAAGCCAGTCAAAAACTCTCCAGACACCATAAAACACCGAAAACAAACACAGCTACTTTCCCTTAACGTTTGATCCGTTTTAAATAAAATAGCAGTCTTACCATTTTATCCAGCTGATGGTAAATTTGTGTCTTTTAAAAAAATGTTTAGTTTGTTTGCTTTTCTTCTTTTTTTCATGCAGTGTACTGAAATCAGAACACAGAAATCATTGTATGCAGTCCAAAGTTCTCAGCAATAAAACAGAGAAGAACGAATAGCCGACAGGGTATTAATCCCGACAGGTTATTAATCCAGCTCTTTTCCCGATTACGAAATTCAGACCGTCTCGTTCAATCGCTGTTCAGTCGCAGACTGCATGAACCGAAAAAATGACAAAACTTTTTGAAGTTGCAATCATTTTCTGTTTACTTTGGTGGCGCCGATCCAGGAGTTTTGCAGGTTGTGCCACATGTAAGTGCACTCACTTTAGAGCTGTTGAGCAACGTTAAAGAACATTATTCGACCACAGTCAATGTATGAAGACCGACAACATTCAAACAAACGCCACACCCTTCCTGTCTAACGTGACTCTACAGACAACCGGGCATTAATAACAATAAATAATTCAACTAATAATGAATTAATAATAATAATAATAATAATAATAATAATGTTGTCAACCTTTAATGTATTATGTAGCCTAATTTATAATTCCAAAACAATTAAATATCTACACCTGTACAACAATGAACAATTACTTTACTGATTTATATTAATTTCTGTATTGCACTTGCCAACTGGATTCTTTAACTTTATGTATATATCACCAGCATCAAGTGAAACAGTGAATACAATTAAATAAAGTTAAAAAAAATATCATTATTAAATTTAGTTTGTGTGACCAATGAACTGGATTTTTCGTTCGCTCACAAACTACGCATTGTGCATTAATTGAGTACAACACTTAATTGAAAAAATATTCACTCATTTAAGTATTGCTTTGGATGAAAAGTATCAGCTAAATAGAAAATAACAAACCATAAGCATAAGTTATTGCTGATAACTTTTTAAAAAGGTGTGTTTTTGTTTGGCATCAGGTGGTTATCCATAGAAGGATATAACCTTGAAGTTCTCTTTGTCATGGACAACAGAAAGGTCAGCCTTTCTTAATACTGCTATTGAGGATTTTGTTTAACTTCACTGTTGTATGACTTTGACTTTACTTTTCTGTCAACTCAGTAGGTCAAAGTGAACGCTCTAATTTTTTCAATATTGTTACTGCAATCTTTGGTAAAGAGACTCCCGGTATAGAGGGGTGAAGGGAGGACATCAAAACCCAGAAGACTAATTCGTTACAGCAGACTAACCCTCGTTCCCTCGAGATCTTGGGGGTTTTATAAGGCTTTTTTTTTTTTCAATTTATGAGTAAAATAAAGCCATAACTTGATGATCATTTGAGGTTATGTTTAACAACACACTCACACCCCAAACTGTTTAGTTACATTTTCAAAAATACAGATTCAAAATTTCACAAGGGGTGTGTGTAATTTACTTGAACAAAAACTCAAAGTATCAAGTAAAGTTTACCACAGGCTATATTTTACTCATAAATTGAAAAAAACTGTTGTAAAACCCGATAGGAAAACCTTGAGGAAACTAGATGCGAATTAGTCTTCCAGGTTTTGACGTCATCCCTGCATTACTCTATTTCAGATCTAGGTAAGACGAAATGTTGTCCAGAAGTCGAAATCCAGGGATGACCTTACTTGTACCTAAACCAATCCATCTCCACCCCCTGATCCCTAACCCCACCCCTTATATCTGGATACAACTCCGCCCCCTGGATCTTGTGTACTGCAATGAGGTGCTACTGGAATAATGAGCAACCTGAACCTGAACTTTAGAATATCATAGAAACATAAAGTGAAGGCGTATAGGTTTTACCGTGTATGGATAACTAACAAATGGTTGTGTGGACAAACGGACTTTAAATGGACTATAAATGTATATAATCTTTAAATCATACTTCTATACACATTTTTCTGTTCCTTTGATGTCCATATTATGTATTTAATGTGTAGTTCAGTGAGTTGTTCAGCCTGTGCTGCCCTCTGCAGGCTCATGAAAGAGTTAACAACACTTGATTCAAATGAAAATTCTTCAATAATTCTGTGAGTAAATAATGACTTTTCTTTTTTGGGTGAACTATATTGAAGCTGTTCAAGAGATCATTACGTTATAAATGGAACTGAAACAGATCAGCAAATGGGAAAACCAAATATAAATAACTATAGCTTCTTATTTCACTAACATCAAACCATGGCATTTTTGTTGTAAATAGCCGATAATGCTTATAAAATGTACTGTATGTTTAACACATTTAAGCTGTTTTAATTCGCTAGAAGCTTAAGCCATAGTACAAGCAATGTACCATGTCCTTGGTTTGTGAACACATGATTCATTACAATTGAGTCTTCTCAAAAACCATCTGTGCATAATTCAAAAAGCCACATAAAACACGTAATATATTTCAGATTCAGTGTCCGTTAGTGTTTGTTGTACGGGGAGCTGTAACTGCTGTAATCTGATCCTCTGATCAAAGTAGAGCAGCAGCTGCCCAAGGCTAAAGCAAACTCAGCAGAGGAAATCCAGTCAACTTCCTCTTCCTAACAGTACACTTTGGTGATGTCATCAAGATCAGTATGTTCTTATTGTTTAACGGGACAAAGTGTTAAGATATATATATCTATATAATCTAGAATATCTATATATTCAGGATTAAAAGACATACCACCTCATGTGATGTCCATACCATGTCCACAGTTTTACAGACAGACAGATAGAGCTACCATGATCTACCTACCTTCCTGTGTTTGCGAGTGGGAGAAGATGGATCTGAAAGGGAGATGAGGTCCAGGCTTATCAAGGAATTAGCCCGAGAGCGGACAGGGGTGGGGCAGGTGTCGGTCATCGAATAGTCTGCTGTTTGGATGCTCATCTGATCAAAACTCCTGTGGAACAGAGAACCAATTGTTAATGTAGTATAAAGATGCCATAGTTTGCAATGGTGATGTAAAGTATCAGTGCAAACAACTGTAAGGGGGCTCTATAACATTGTATTTGGTTTTTCTGTATTATCTTGACAGATAAAATGACTTTTCAATACAATTAATTCATTAATAATGTGAATCACATGTAACCAGTAAAGAACATGTTCAGGTCACATTTCAACCAAAATTCAAAGAGGGGAAAAAAGAAACTATAGGAAAATTATTTTATAGTGAAACATATTATATAATATGAAATAATATATATTTTTTTTTTTACTTTTAAGAGTATGTGGCACAAGTTAAAATGTCAGTGTTTTTTGTTAGCACATTTAAACAAAAATTAAAACTAATTAAGTGAAATTATTGCATATATTTCTTGGAAGGATGTGGTGTCATGGTCTCAGGTTCAGAATAAATATTTAAGTGCTGCAACAGCTTTGTTGATTTTGTACTCCTCACTATAATATGCATTGTGACACAGCAACAAGTCTATCTTTTAGCATTAAAGTGCAATATGAATAATTCATGGTAATGGGAATTAATTGTCATCTGTCAAAAGGGCTACCACCTTCTTGAATAAAGTTTGACACCATAAAAACGGTCCTTTGAAAGGATCCCTCCATTCAATGTAGAGTCAGTTTTTATTGTGCAAGTTAACGATTGTGCAACTGAACCATTTTGCAATATAACCACCAGGGAGCAGTCTAAGATTAGTTTGGCTTAGTTCCACAAGTATGCTATCGACTTTTCCTTCACGCTGCAACCGAAATCAAATACATGTGACAAGACATATGTCCGAACAGTACTTATAACAGAGTAGCCAAAATGAACCCGAATTACCTATTACTTCTGTTGAAATTCTGAAGTGTGCATATGATAAACACTTTACTATCCCATGAGGCCACGGGTGGAGGATTTGTGAATGGCAGTGAAGCGACGCAACAACACATATGATAATGACAACATGGCGAATAGGCATATGTCCGGCTAACATTCACACATTTAAACTGTATTGGTCGTGAAGTAATGATTCAACATAATTCCTCTTAAATGGAAAACCTACTTAAAGAGGTTGTTCCACATTATTAAGCAAGTCACATGTTCTTAAGAAATGAAAGAAAGTTCTTTCTGAAGATGAAAAGCATGAAAAGGCATGACAAAAACTAATATTGTGTGAAAACTTTATATTAAACCTAATATTGTGAGATTATCTGTCAAAAGATTTGTGAGTGAGCCACAATCCTGTAATAGCATAAAATGGTTAGTTAGTCATTTTGACACTCTCAGAGACCTTAAAGAGACCATCCATCTTATTTCTTAATATTCCAGCCCAAAATAATCACCTGCAAGCTCTTTGCTCAGTCTTGTTGGAACAGGGTGGGTGGCCATTCACCAACCATCCAAACCATCCATTGCAGCACAGCATTCATCAATGAATACAACTATTTAAAATGAGTCTTCATGAATTTCTAAACCTAATGCAAATGCTTCTCTTTGTGAGCTTTTGTTAGGGGTGGATGAAATGCAACTTTATGCACATCTTTCAGCCTGGAGAAGTTCTTGGGACTCCAGAGACACCAGCAGCGTCATACCTATTTGCTACTCAACAGTGGCTTTCTTATAGCTGCTCTTTTAATACAATTAATATGTTTGACAGAAACTTCCTTTATTAAGCCTTTATCTGACCGAGTTCTTCTGTGGTCTAAATCACTAAGAAACCTTTTGACAGTTCGATGATCTCTATTCAGTTTTTGCAAAATATTAGTTATTTTTATGCCTTTACAAGACATTACCCCATTTCATGCTTTTTATCTTCAGAAAGATCTTTCTTCCTCCCCACATTATGTGAGAACTGTGACATGTTTAATAATGTGGTTCTCTTAGTTCTGAGACACATCTTCCGTGCCCCATAACGCAAACATATTATTTCATTTATTTTTCACTGTTAGACAGAAATGATCCGCATACTTCCAAACTTTTCTAGAGAACAACTTATCGTAAATCTCAACTTTACAGCTTGAAGAATACCTGAACCCCATTAAGGGGGAAAAGACAAACATTTTCTTTGACAGGTTTATTATAGTAAAAGAAAGTCTCACAGATCTTCAGCAAGCAGGGTGTCTGATTTGGTGGTTCTGTCCACAATCCAGTGTTCATGCTCGACTTATCACATTAAAAGAGTTCACATTAATTCAAGGGTGTCGAATGCGATTAAATGGCTTATGGCATTCTGGTTTCTTAATCCGAACCAACAGCCCTGCTTCATCCTACTAAATTTTGAACTGACAATCTATGTTGGTTCTAGACTTTCCAGAAATATTTTATTAAAAAATCATGCTTCATATTGTGAATGACACCCATGTGTTTAGCTATGGCTCAAAAAAAGGGTTAATACTTCAGTTTCCTCTCTGACTGTTTGAGCCCTCAGGCAAATACATGATCTAGCATGTGTGTCAGTAAGAGAAGCCATGATCTCAGGGCTATGGATGCTATCACAAAAACCTGACAAGCCTGCCTGTGTGTTTTCATATAATCTAAATAAACTCAGATCCAGTTTAAGATTTTGTATCATACAGATATCCATGAATATTCCTTTCAGTGCATTTTGAAGTCCTTCGTTGTTTACATGACACACATTACTGGCAAATGTCTGAGGTTTTTTTTTTTTTTTTCAGTCAACCAAGCCTATTTATGACCCACTAACACAGATTCCTGGATTTAAAACGAAATGCATCCAATTAAGAAATATCGATAGTGTGACTCAAATGTGAAAACTTTAAACTTAAAAGGAATTGTTGATCAGTGTAACTTGTGACTCACACATGCAGATGTGAATAATAATATGATGTGTGTTGACCTGTCACACAAAATTTGATTATGTATGCATAAAAAAAACATGATCTGAACATAAGTGATCATCTTAACACACATCCACTTGATCACATGACAGCACATCACTTGTCTTGTCCCTGTCACAAATTTTAGATGAGATCATTCGCCAATTAGTCTCCCTGTCCACCTTTGTTAGGTTCTATAATCTGGAAGTTCCTGCCCTGCAGGCTAAACTTCTGTCAGTATAAGTGAGATTTAAGTTCTGTCCAGACCTGCTCGTGCGCAGGCTACTCTCACGTGACTTAGCTCTCTTGGTTGAGCTGCACTATATTGGGTTAATAATATGCTATATGCTTATACGGACCGGCGACGCTCTGTATTCCCTATGAGTGCTTATAATATACTTGCGCCTAATGGGCTATATGCACGCATAAGTTCCGCATTTGACGTTTACAAAGGATGCTCGTCCATTACCGGTTGTGTAGATTAAAGCGGAGGAAAACCGGAGAAAACGGGATTATGGCAGAGTCTTCAATATTTACTGTCCTCCCGTCTTTGAAACGAAACGTACATACGTTTAGATGTAATTTTATATATAGTTATGTTTATTTAATATAATTTTAAAAAGAAGCATAAACACAACGAGGGGTGTCTGTTTTATCTGTTTTTGTGACTAACGTTTCATTAGTATAACCATGGAGTATAAAATTCAATATAAATTCTCGGTATTGCATTGGACTCTATGATCGGCGGAAGTTATCGAGCATCCCTAATGCTTCACCGGAAATAACGCCGTGCATAGAGCCCATTCCCCGTTATCTGGGATCTCCGGGATTCCCTGGGACTAAGTGGATGCTTGGCGCGCACGTCGTTGATAAAGGGTTCCAGTAGTGTAAGCTAAATTACGCAATACGAGAGAATCTCTCGCAAGAGAACGTATTGGTTACCTAAGAGGGAACGAGTATTGCGCGCGACTTTCGCTTCCATCGATGAAAACCAAAGAGACGGCCACCGAGCCCCGCTACGGCCATTCTGGCGGGCTAAGACATGATGAGGGCGCGAGCACCCTTCATTGGATGTGGCGGCACGCCGGGCTCAGTGTTAGGCTGCTGCAGTTGCCGCAGGGCAGCCAATGAGCATGCTAGATAGCCTGCTTTAGGTCTGCTAGCTGCTACACTGCGTTGACAAAGAATACAAAAATTAAGGAAAATTTTTTGGTTTCAATATCTCGAAAAGATGAATCTTTCCCGTAGCGTAAGCTAACTTACGCAATACTCGTTCCCTCTGTTTAGAAATCGAAGAACGAAATGACGTGATGCAATTCCAAACAAAATCAGGCCAAAACGAACTTCGTTTGGAGTTTGAAACAGTTTGCTCTGGCTGGTAAACGCCTTTGAACTATCATTGGTCTGTGGCGATTACGTAATAGGTAGGCGTTTGTGGAGGGTCCGCCTTCTTTCACTTTAAAATACTTCCTGGTTAATTTCCTCGGCTGGACTGCTTTATAGTAGAAAATTAAGTTTCTGAAGAAACGAGACACTGACTGACACTGTTTTTCATGTTTAATATGGTAAATTATATATGGTAAATAGATTATATTTGTGATCTTATTAGACCATATACAGCATCTAGGTCACTAAGATGTTGTGATCTGTCACTTTTATCTGTCCCTTTCTCTCTGTGTAAATCAAGAGGTGATAGAGCTTTCTCTGTTGTTGCGCCAAAGCTCTGGAACAGTTTACCTTTAACCATCAGAATCCAGTTTAAAAACCTATTTTTACTCTCTTGCGTTCGAATAAGGTCATGTATTTATTTTTAAATTAGTCGGTGTTCTACAGGTTGTATATGTCGATACACCAAAGGTTTTGCTACTTGATTTTATCTCTTTTTACTTTATTTATTTTATTTTATTTTATTTGAACTATTTTATTGTACTGGAAAGCACTTTGGATCAACTACGGTTGTGTTAAACCTGTGCTCTATAAATAAAGTTTGACTTGACTTGACTTGACTAAAGCTGCTTGATTTAAGCAATCTTTAAAAAAAAGTGCTATATAAATAAACATGACGTGACTTTACTAAAGTGCCGAATTGCAGAGGTCGTGTAAACAAACATATCCACTTTGCTA